AAATTCATATAATACTCTGCTTCCACTGCTTTCAAATTACTTTATTCCAATTTCGCCTTCAAATCAACATTTTATTTTTCATAAACTTGTATTTTTATTTATGTTTTTTTTTGAGTCTGACTTAACAAAGTTAGATTTCAAAAGTCAAAGTGAACTATATTTAAGTTTGTTTCTTACATTCCACTATTATAGTTTGTTTATTAATAAAAAGTTGATTTTTTTAGTTGACTTTAGTTAAATAGTCAAAAAGTTTTATGTTCTTTTTATTTTGTTTTTCAAGTCAATTTAATATTTTTTAATAGTTATATTTTTAGTAATTGTAAGTTGGTTGTGACTCATTGTTAATCTAATGTATTATCCAATAGGTAGACTGTATGCAGTTAAATTTAACAACGAAACTTTTAGCTTTTTCAAATATTAGAAGTCCCATTTTTATTTTGATTGTTTTGTTTATTGCATTTTTATTTGTTTATTGTATTTGTACTATGTATTCCAGCAATGAAAAATGTTTTCTTAATTTCAATTTTTTTTCTTATTTTTTTACATATTTCTTTACATTTTTTTTTATTATTCAGCCAAGTCTTGAAAAGTTAGAGAAGGATTCTGGTAAATTTATTTATTTTTGTTTCTGTATTTAATTTGCAAAATGTTCACAATTTTATCAAAGTACAATGTCAAATTGTTTTTATTCAACAATTCTGTTGGATAATAGTTTTGACTAAACATGTTTTCAACTAGATGTGTCTACAACTAGTTGTGTAGATGTGTCTACAACTAGTCATGTAGATGTGTCTACAACTAGTTGTGTAGATGTGTCTACAACTAGTTGTGTAGATGTGTCTACAACTAGTTGTGTAGATGTGTCTACAACTAGTTGTGTAGATGTGTCTACAACTAGTTGTGTAGATGTGTCTACAACTAGTTGTGTAGATGTGTCTACAACTAGTCATGTAGATGTGTCTACAACTAGTTGTGTAGATGTGTCTACAACTAGTTGTGTAGATGTGTCTACAACTAGTCGTGTAGATGTGTCTACAACTAGTTGTGTAGATGTGTCTACAACTAGTTGTGTAGATGTGTCTACAACTAGTTGTGTAGATGTGTCTACAACTAGTCATGTAGATGTGTCTACAACTAGTTGTGTAGATGTGTCTACAACTAGTTGTGTAGATGTGTCTACAACTAGTTGTGTAGATGTGTCTACAACTAGTTGTGTAGATGTGTCTACAACTAGTTGTGTAGATGTGTCTACAACTAGTCATGTAGATGTGTCTACAACTAGTTGTGTAAATGTGTCTACAACTAGTCATGTAGATGTGTCTACAACTAGTTGTGTAGATGTGTCTACAACTAGTTGTGTAGATGTGTCTACAACTAGTTGTGTAGATGTGTCTACAACTAGTTGTGTAGATGTGTCTACAACTAGTTGTGTAGATGTGTCTACAACTAGTTGTGTAGATGTGTCTACAACTAGTTGTGTAGATGTGTCTACAACTAGTCATGTAGATTATGCAAGTCCAGAAATTACCTTTTTAATATTTTGATAATTTTGTAATGTAACTTTAATATAGTTTTTTTTTTTAATTTTATAAAATCTTTATAATATTTAAAATTCAAATAATAACAATAATTGCTGATTAAATGAAATCTATACAATAACAAAATAATTGTAATTAATTATGATTTTTGTTATTTATGTTTTTCTTATTTTTTTATTGAAATATTTTTATTAAGGATTAATCTGTTCATTGAAATTTTTTAACAATTTATTTTTTATTTGAGGCAAAAAAAGTTCCGATTTTTGATAATTATTTTTATAATGAATTTATAAATTAAAATATAAAGACATCAATAAATAAGGTATAAGGGTAAAAAATGCATTTATGGATTTAGTTTTTGTCGTCAAGTCAATCTTATCACCCTTTTCCCTTATTATCAATATTAATATCTCCTCACTTTTATGTTTAAAACCTTTGTCATCAAGAAAAATTAATCCTAATGTTTTAGAAAGAGTTTTTTCTCTTAAACTCGTTCTAAAATATTGGAAAACTTTTTTATTTGTTTCTAAACACTGAACCTTTAATAAAATCTAAACCTAAGTGTGTTAAAAGTTCAGGTTTTCATTAATTCATTTTTTTTTCAAATTTTTTATGGCTTTGAATTTTATATATTTTTTCAGTTGAAGATGATGGAATCCTGGATTTAAATGTACTATTTGACCTTAAACAACTTCGAACTGTTTCAGATAAGATAAAGTAAGATTTCTTAAGTTTAATTCTTTTAAAATATTTTTTTGGTAGTTATGCAATATCTATTTGTGAAGGTTCCATTACAACATACTTAAAAAAATTTTTGCAATAAAATTTTTAATAGATTTTCAGTTATTCATTCTTTTTTAATAAAATTATTTAGCCAGTCCCAATGACAATATAAAGGAATATTTTGTATGCAGCACAAGCTGTTGAACATAACATTTGGTATGCAGTACAGGGTGTTAAAAATAAAATTACAGATGTTTTACACTGTTTATTAAAAAACATATCAAAATACAAATGTTTTTAAAATGGTTTTAGGCTAGGTTAAGTTGATGTGATGAACAACCAAGTTCACTAATTAGTGCAATTATTCAGTTTTTTATTACCAATTAGTAATTAACAATTACTATTATTAATTAAATACTAATTGTTGTCTTTATAAATATAAAGTTTAAAGTTCAAAATCTAAGTTTAAATTTTGTGCTCAAATGTTTAAAAGTGCTCAAATGTTCAATAGATTTAACTTTCAAATTTTTAGTTCAAGTCCAAATATTCAAACTAAATTAATTATTATTTACATTTATTTATGAATATATTATTTTGTGAATTAGTTCCACATTATTATAAACTATAGAGTACACTGAGTATCAGTGTCTAAGTGAGTCATACATTCAGGACCACAGAGTCAAAGTTGAAGTCTTTCCTTTACACTTATTGTTATGTACGTTATTAGTAATCAGTTTATTTGTGATCTATTAATATGTACCTTATTACTAATTAGTTTTGTTATTATCTGTTACTGATTAAATTACTAGCTTTATTTTTAGTTATTAACCTCTACAAAATACACATACATAAATAAGTATAATTATGTTTTAACTGAAACTTCTGTTTTGGCAGAGAGGCTTTAGCTAAACTCTAGGTTTGGCATATACCTAATTTAATAGCATCTACAGTTATAGAAAAATATTAAGCTTGCCAATTTTTTTCTTTACTTTCCATAGGTTTTCTATAGGATTCAAGTCTGGACTTTGTAGTGAGCAATCTAACACTTCAATATTATATATATATATATATATATATATATATATATATATTATATATATATATATATATATATATATATATATATATATATATATATAATAATAAATATTTAATTATCATTTTAAAATTGGTTAACAAAATGGCGATTTTTGATAAGTTCAAAAGTTTGCGGACAAACTAACGCTTTTAACATTTTCTCCACAAAATAGCTAATTTGTTGATTTCATAAACAAATACTTTGTGGAAATAATTTCAAAACTTTATATATAAGTGATTGAGATCATTGGATCTAAGAAATGTATTTCATCTCCAGTAAAAAAATTGATCTAGAGATTAGTTCAGAAGAAGAAACTCGTTTCGTAAAACATCACAACTTTATGGAGTTGGTAAGTCTGCTGTTGTACAAATTATGAAGAGATTTGAGCTTACTAGATCTACAAAGAATAAAAATCAATCAGGAAGGCCACGCAAAACAACGCGTTATCAGGATAAAAAGCTTGTAATACTAAGCAAAGAAAATCCCCGTTTGACAGCTGTTGATTTAAATGTACAAATGAGATGTTTCTATGAAATGAATTGTAGTATTTCTACTATAAAACGTTGTTTACGTCGCGCTAATTTGTTTGGAAGACGCCCAGCTAAAAAACCATTAGTTTCCTTGAAAAACCATAACGCCCGAACGGAATTTGCATCAAAACATCTAAAGTGGAGTAGTCAAAAATGGTCAAAAGTTCTTTTTAGTGACGAAAGCAAATTTATGCTGTTTGGATCCGATAAAATCAGGTATGTTCGACGTCCAGTAGGTACTAGGTACAATCCTAAATACCAACTGCCTACCGTAAAACATGGAGGAGGTAATGTAATGGTTTGGGGATGTTTTAGCTGAAATGGAGTTGGTCCTCTCCATAGAATTACCGAGAATATGAATCAAGAAAAGTACAAAGATATATGTAAGACTATTATGTTACCATATGCAAAGGATGAAATGCCTCGAGGATGGATTTACCAACAGGATAACAATCCCAAACATACAGCTAAATCGGTTTTTGAGTTTTTTAAAGAGAGTAAAGTTAATGTTTTGAAGTGGCCATCCCAATCACCTGACTTAAATTCCATTGAACATCTATGGGAACATGTTGACCGTCAAATGAAAGGAATTAAGCCTTCAAATTATGCTGATTTATTTAATAAAATCAAAGAATTATGGGACTTAATTCCCATTGACGTTTGCATTAATTTAGTTGACTCTATGCCTCATAGATGCCAAGCTATTCTTGATTGTAAAGGATATCCTACAAAATACTAATTTGATTTTGCTTTTGGAAAAATTTTGATCAAATATTGTTGAAATATTTTAACTATTTTAAAAAATAATGCTTTGTATGCAAATTTTTGAACTTATCATTGACTGTTGATTTGTATACTAATTTAAAAATATTATTTAGATAATAATTATTTGTTCAAAACTAATTGTAAATTTGAAAACCTTTTAATTGGTATATAATATGTTGGCTTTAGTAAAGTGTGTGCTGAAATATAATTAAAATTCCTTATTTTTTTGCTTGTCCGCAAACTTTTGGACGCTATTGTGTATATATATATATATATATATATATATATATATATATATATATATATATATATATATATATATATATATATATATATATATATATATGTACATAAATATATATATATATATATATATATATATATATATATATATATGTACATATATATATATATATATATATATATATATATATATATATATATATATATATATATATATATATATATATATATATATATGTATATACATACATACATACATACATACATTTTAGTGGCTCATAAAACAATATTTTTTGAAAATGCCCCTAATGGTGTTCTATATAATAAATTAACATAAAATTTATAAAATTTTCGAATAAAAAAAAGTTTTAGTGGTCGCTCAAGACCCTTAAACATCAGACAAGTCCTTAATATTTTGAAAAAAATAACCAGTAGACATTTTCAAAAAAGTTGTTTTATGAGCCACCCTAATATATATATATATATACATATATATATATATATATATATATATATATATATATATATATATATATATATATATATATATATATATATATATATATATATATATATATATATATATACATATATATATATATATATATATATATATATATATATATATATATATATATATATATATATATATATATATATATCAGGTTTGGTCGGGAAGCGTAAGCAATCGCTCTCGATTTGCTGCTCATGGAAATAATACTTAGTTGCGAAAAGCTGGCCAGATTTTTTAGTCGTTTTGAGAAAATTTCAAAAAGCAAAAAAAAATGCGCAAAAGACTAATCGGACCAATGAGAGACAATTACAAAAAAAAAAAAAAAAAAAGGAAAAAATATCTTTTAATGCAAAAAAAAATTAAAGCAAAATAAATTACGTTTAGAACAACTATTTTTAAAACATTGTTCTTTTATAATTTTTTTATAAAATTAAGCGTTGTTTTTTAATATAAAGTAACATCTTACATTTGTTTAAAAAGGAAATAAATGTTCTTTATTTGTCAAAGTTTGCAAGTTTTAGTTTTATCTAAGCTAAATTATTTTCTAAATAAAAAAGTTAATTTTTTAATACCTATTTTATGATTAGCGTAGTGAAAAGTTTAACATATTTGAAACAATTCTTCTTAGTAAAATAAACAAATGAAATAATTAAATTATTAAATTACTATAGAAATTAAATTAACTAGATAGAAATCAACTAAAAAAGTTAAAAATAAATTTATGACGAGGAAGCGAAACTGCTTCACAATATTGCCGATGATGTTTAGTGAGTGGGCTTTTTAATTTTAATTAGTATTTAAAGCAGAAAAAAGTATAATGAGTTTTTAAGAATGGCAACTTAAGCGAAAATAATTAGATTTAGTAAACCAATATTTAAAAACTTTTCTTTATATCTAATAACTTGCTATATATATTTGTGTTCTGTCTTGACCTCAGGCGTGGTAATTGTTTATCAGCAAGCTACTTTGTATGCATAGTTTGTGTTTAGTAACCAGAAATCATTGAAAATGCAATTATTTTTGTAAGTCTTTGTTTACAAATTAAATCGATAAAAAACAGATACACTTTTTTTTTTTTATGTAAATGTAATTAAAATAAAAAAATAGACATTTTTTATGTAAATTTTATTTACATAAAAAATACATACTCTTTAAATAAAAAATAAGAATATACTAATAAAATCTTTAATTTATAACAAACTTTCAAAATTTTGACAATTTAAATAAAATATATTTAAAAAATTTATTTTTGTAAACAAATAATAATAGTTTATAAAATTTACGGCTTTGCAGATGTGGCTTTGAGAACGAGCCACAGAACCGATAATATATCCTTAAAACAATCTATCAAAACGTAACAAATCGTGAATAATACAATTTCTAAAATATTTCAGCAGAATACTCTTGAACTTTATTTCGCTTAGTCAGTGCATTTTTTGAACTAATAGAATTAGTTTGTTTGTTAATTTGGCGGGTTTTCAGAGTTTGCAAATATTCTTTTTATTCTTCTGCATTAAAATGTTTTGAGAATATTAAAGTTGTTTATGTTTTCATGTATGACTGTAAAACAAATTTTCTTTTGTTTTGTATACATAAACTTAAATGTTCTCAAAATGACTAAAGAATCTGGCCAGTTTTTTGCCGCTAAATATAATTTCTGTGGTCAGTATTCAAGAGTGATCGCTCCCGCTTCCTGACACCAAGCCTGATATATATATATATATATATATATATATATATATATATATATATATATATATATATATATATATATATATACATATACACACACACATATATATATATATATATATATATATATATATATATATATAATATATATATATATATATATATATATATATATATATATATATATATATATATATATATATATATATATATATATATATATGTATATATATATACACATATATATCTATATATGTATATAGAGTTTTTTTAAAATTACTGTACATTTTAGTAAGTAAAAATTGTTTTTTATGTTATTCTTGGTGAATAGTTACGCTATTTAAATAAAGTAATCTTTTTTGAAAGGGAAGACACAAATGTAAATACACTTCAAAAACATTATACGTCACTAATAAGATGGTTAGAGGAAAGGCGTTCAAGAGGAATGGTCAGTAAATTTAAAAGGTTTTATAATTCTAAAACATAGTCAAGAAAGTTTTTTTTCTAATTTTTTTTTTAAATTTGTGTACTGGAATTACTAAATTTTTTTTTAGGAAACTGTAACGTTGATACAATTTGTCGACTCTTTTGTAAATAAAGGAGCATCTAAAGAAGTTGCAACTGAGGTTATCTTCAATTACTATTTTTTGATAATATATTTTTTGTATGCTTATTAAAATGCTCTCAGAAGTCCTTAGGGTCTTAGCACAAAGCAGAAGAGGATTTAACTAGAAGTTTTATTTCTCTTTCCTTACCAATTTTGCTTTTTACGGCTTAAGCCAGTATCTAACCTCAGAACTCTTGGTTTTCAGCCAGAACTCTTAATGTTGGGCCATGGCTGCAGTTTAAATATTAGTTTGTTAACTATTTATGATAACTATATTATGTTGTATGATAGTTGTTCAGAAAGAGTTAAAATTTTTTAGTAAGAGAAAATTAAGACATTTTCATTAAAAACAATAAATATAAATATAGTAAACTTGTTTTACTTGACAGTTCTTATTTTTAAAATTATTAAATTGTTAAGTTGATTTAGTTTTGCAACAACAGTTGCTTGTGACTTGTCCATAATAAATTTTGTGGTAGTAGACTAGTGGTAAAAACTTTGCTCACAATTAAGTGGTTCAAACTATACGTATAATGTATAACTGTCTATAGTGTATATAGGTATACATTTGTAGTCTTTTTTTGCTTACTATTTTTTTTATATAGGATTTTCATGGAAAAAATGGGTTTTTGACAAAAAAAAAAATGATTAGAAGCAATATTATAGCTGGAGGCAAAAACCTTATTGTTGTTGGCAAACCTATAGTAAATGTTGCAGATTATGTCTAAAACTAATCTAAAATTGTCTATAGAAGCTACAATGAAAATTTCAAATACTCTTAACGTGAGTAAAAGAAAAGCAAAGCTACTTTTTAAAAATATATGACAAAACTTAGAGAAGACAATCTTTCAACTCAAATTGAGGCGCTCCATAACGCGATGTCAGTATTTTATGATGTCAAAACTGAATTATTTGTTTCAGTAAATGAGGAATTAAGTTACAGTTTTGTATTTTTTAAAGATAATGCTGAATTTTTTTAAATTATTAATGAAATCTTTATTGCACTGTATTTAGGACTTCAATTAAAATCAGCTAGGATTTTCTTAAATAATCCAAATAGAATGTATTCATAGGATTTGATCTAAAATGTGGTAATTTTTTGTTTGGTTTAAGCATTCACAATGGCAAGTAACAAACCTGTTTTAGTATAAAGAGAAAAGTTCTCTTTAGAGTACTTTATATTCAATATATTTACTTTATATCCAATATATTTACTTTATATCCAATATATTTACTTTATATCCAATATATTTACTTTATATCCAGTATATTTACTTTATATCCAATATATTTACTTTATATCCAATATATTTACTTTATATCTAATATATTTACTTTATATCCAATATATTTACTTTATATCCAATATATTTACTTTATATCCAGTATATTTACTTTATATCCAATATATTTACTTTATATCCAATATATTTACTTTATATCCAATATATTTACTTTATATCCAATATATTTACTTTATATCCAATATATTTACTTTATATCCAATATATTTACTTTACTATCCAATATATTTACTTTATATCCAATATATTTACTTTTGTTTTGATTGATATCAACTGTAACAAGTTTGTTGCATATGAACGTAAGAAAAAGACATGAACAAATTTAAACTACTTTTTCTCTCCGAAAATGTCAAATTCCATTTAATCCTTGACAGAATCTTTATGAACCTTTAAAAACTATTCTTATATATTTTATTGATTATTTTTATTGAATTAGTATTACTTCTATGTTTGTGAAAATATTATTTACTCTGTGGCCTGATTTTGATATATAGCCAAAGTCAGAGTATATTATGTTTAAAAGTTACCATTGGTGATTGAGCAGCTTTGAATGGTAGCAAATCACTTGCACAAAGTAGAAGTTTATCTTCTAAGTGCACCCTCCATACATCAAATATGATATTCTAAGTACAGCCTTTATACTACCAAATAAGATATTTCTGCAACATGTAGCTTAATCAGTTTTAGATTTTAAAAAAGCTTTTGAAATTTCATTAGGGTGTCCCAAAAATAAACAATTTTTTTCCCTCCCCTCAAGACCCTTGAACATTTAATGGGTCTCTTATATTATCAAAAAAAAGTTTTTCAATAGTGATGGACTTCAAATGAAGTTGAAGTTGTATGAAAATTTCATAAATGATATTTATATTATAAAAAACTATAATACAATAATTATTTTATAAAATATATAAAATTATATATAAATTTAATATTACATAATTATATAATTATATAAAATAAATATCACATTATTCATAAAATATATAATGCGATATTTATTTTATTTAATTATATAATTATATTATTAAAAAATATATAATACACAACCCTCGGAATTAGGGTCAGCATTCGGCAATGCCGACCTAATTGTTTCTATGTTTTATGGTGAGACTTTAGTATCAAAATTTTTTTGCCGCCTTGATGCTGACCTCTAAAAGATTGAACTCTGCAAATTATTGCCGACCTCATTTTTCCTAATTCAGAGGTTTGAAAATATTAATTATATTTAAAAAAATATTAAATTATGATATAAAATGAGTAAAACAATAATTATATTATAAAAAAAAATTGAATAAAAAGTTATTGTCAAATAAATTTTTAAAAAATGCACTTTTTTCATGTTTAGTTAAGTTTTTTTTTTATGCATTAAAATCTAATATATTAATTTTTTATAATCAATATAAAAAAGTATATTAGGTTTTATTAGTTATAATAACAGTAATAATTTTAAAATAATTATAAAAAAACTAATATAAAAGATTTTAATGCATATAAACTAATATAACAATAATTTCATATAATTTTGCTCCATTTGAGATCTATCATAATATCTTTTAAAGAAATTATCATAATTATCATAATTTTATCATAATTACACTTGTCAAGAAAAGTTATGATATTAACACTTAACAACCACATGCATTTCTTAAAAATAACATTAGAGACTCATTAAGTGTTCAAAAATTTTAGGGGTCCCCTAAAAAATAATTTTTATTAAAAAAAAGTTTTAAATCTTTTTTTTCCTTGCAATCAACCCTTTTGAACTCTCTACCATTCTTATGTTTTCCTGACTCATACAACCTACAACTTTTCAAGTTTTCTGTCAACCGTTTTCTTGCTCTATAACTCTATTCTTTTTTTTTCTAGTAACTCCCAACTTAATATGCTTGCAGCCTTTTTGGTTGTAAATCAGAATAGAGAAAGTTTTAAAAAAATACAGTCTTATTTTACAGAACCATTCATGTAGTCTGTTTAGGTATTTTAAAAGATTGTTTTTCAGGACACTTTTCATGGACATCAAAACAACTTCATCTTCTGGAAAAGTTGAATTTAGCCTAATTTTAGCTGGAGAGTTCTACTTTAGTATGTCATCTTTTTCCTTTTATTAAAATATAATCAGTTTGGGCTTGGTGTGTTTGCTGAGCAAACAAGAAATTGTACTCATACCACTATCAAATATGGGAGCATTACAAGCATTATTTGAAACACACTGATTAACAACTTAAAAAACAACTCTGATTGAGTTCATTATAAACAAAACATTGTTTATAATAACATGTTTATAACAAGTTTTGACAACATGTCATTTTCTTATTTTTTTTATTTTTGTTCATTTGTTTTTATAAGTGTTAAATTTGAAGTCATCAAATAACTGTTATTTAAAAGTTAAGTTGCAAGAGGTTAAACTTTTCATTTTTCAATGTTAAACTTTTTGTTATATCGGTTTTATTAATGTTATTTTGTAAACTTTTTGTTGTCATGGTTTTATTAATGCTATATTGTTGTCATGGTTTTATTAATGCTATATTGTCGACTTTAGATTTTATCAAGATCTTTATTTTCAAGTCAAAAGTTTTAAAAAAGTTAAAAAAGAATCTTTGTTTTTTGAACAAAGATTCTTTTTTAAGTATACTGCTCTTTTAAGTTTTTTTTTTAAAGTATATAAGTTTTAAAATTTTAAAGAATAAAAAGATATTATAACAGAGAGTCTTGTATAAATATTCTGATGACTTTTACCTCCAGCCAACCACCCCACCCCTCCAACCCCTACCTTAACTCTTCATAAGTTGAATAGTTAAACCTGTGTTTATAAAAAAATATATTATAAAGTTAGTTTAAATTTAAAAAAAACTTTTAAACACATTACCAAACTTAATAATAATAAAACCAAAAAAGTAGAGTAAAGCATAATTTAACTTAACTCCGGAGGACACAGTAATCTTTTTTTTTTGTACATCTTTCTTCACATATATTTACAAAAAAAAGAGAAATTTCAAATCTAAAACCTAGTCTGATTAAAATGCTCCAAAACTTTAAATAAAATCTTCTTTCCAGTCCCGTACTGTATTTAGTGTTTGATCCAATTTTAGAGCAATTGCAACTATATGTAAACATTTATCAGCAAAGCAAATAGCTACTCTCATAATGAAATGGTTTTAGGTAAAATTTAAAATATTATATTAAAATAATAACAGTAAGACTATTATTTACTATTTAATTAATAACAGATTTAGCTTAGGATTGGAGATAAAAGCTTTTATTAAAAACTGTAGAACATAAAATATTTAAAATCAATTTTATAATTTTATTTTTTTAAACAATTGTTTTTTTTTTCTTTATAAACATAATGATGACAGTATATCTTGGCTGAACCTCATAGTTAGGGTTCATACCACTTATCTAAACATAATTTGTGGTTTTTGTCTAAAGCCAGACAAGTAACAAATGAAAAAATTCCTAAGTTTTCATTATATTTTTTGATTGCATTAAGACTTATTAGTAGCATTTGTCACATTTACAAGATTTTAAACCTGAACTTTATGAAAACCTTGAGCTTCATGAAAACTTTGCAGATTCTTCAATTGGTGGATATTCAAATATTGGCCTGTTAAAAATATTTTTGTACTGTATAGCTTATGCATAAAATATAATACTAAAAAATTTTTAATTAAAAAACAAAGCAAAACGTGAAGATAAACATAAAAGAATAAAGAAGTCACATGTTTTAGAACCTTGAATTGGCTTCTCAAACTTTTAGAACAGCTTTTATTCTTCATGGTGTTCAGGCAAAATCACAATATTGAGGTGTTATTTTAGTGTTATTTTTGTTATTTTATGATATGGTTTCATTATGCTTTTCTTAGATCTACTAGTGAGTTTGGGATCTGCTTAAAAACCTCTGCTTTCAATTATAACTTGTTTTTAATGGGGTTTAAGTCCGGTGAATTGCCTAGTCATGAGGCAAGAACATTAAAGGCAATTGTTGTCTAATATCAAGTTTCCTTGTATAAGCAACTTCAATAAGAAGGCAATGTGAACTTTGCGAACAAAAATGTTAATGGCTCTTTCTCATTGACAATAATGTTAAGCCTTCTTTGAGCCTAAATAAGTATTTATCAGATGGAGTGGAGTTATAAAAAAATAAAATGTTGCAATTTTTTATTACATTTGATTAAATTGATAATAATTCAAAAATTCAAAGGACTATATATTTTGAAAATACACAATAAATTTAAATTCTATAAATATTTTTTCACCAAATAATGTAAGAAACATTTAGAGTTAGAGTTTTATTTTCTATTATAGATTTTCCGTCAATTTGACGTTGAGGAAAACGGAGTAGTTGATCTTGATTACTTACACGAGGTAAGATAAATATTGTTGTGTATGTTGGTATTTTTTAATCATTTAACTCTACCCCATTTTTTTTGGTAACATAATGTTAAAGAACCTGAAATACATTTGAAGTCTAAAAATATGTTATTGATGCAGCAAACAATTCTTATTTAAAATCTTCTAAATTTAATAGCATTGTTTAGTTAAAAAAAGATTATTTGATAAGAGTTTATTTATTTGAACTATTAACTAAATAAATTAATAATAAATATTCATATTGACATTTTTTCAAAAATTACCAGTGTTGTTCAAAACACTAAAAATGTATATAACTACCATAGCTACCATAGCTACCACTCTACAACTGTTAAATGATTTTGTTATAGCTTGATGTAGTTAAAATTTCAATCTGGTTCTTAAATGAACACAGGTATTTTTTTTTTTTTAAATTAGTAGACCTAGAATAATTGGTCTTATGATTTTATGAGTTAAATTAAAGATTTTATAAACTAATAAGAAATTTTGTTATTACTAAAAAATATCATTAAGATTCAGATGCACTGCTGAAATAATTATAATTTTAATTTCTTAATTATATTTTTACAGTTAATGAAAAACATATTTTAGATGTTTGCACAATACCTTACTTTAAAGTCTGTAAAGATTTGTTAAGATAATAATATGTTTAAGAATAATTTATATACATTTAAGATTATTAATTATAATAGACTATGGTTTCTTGACAGACACCTTAGTCTTGTCAATAAAGAATTAAGTGTTCTATTTAGCAGTTAAAGTTGAAGTGATCAGAATGGCATTTAATTAGCCTGTTTTTTTTTGTGAGGAAGTGTGTTATTAGATTCAATAAATATAGTGAAGTTCTTTGTAAATAGTTCTTATTTATCTTTTCAAGAGATCATAAATCTGTATATAGAAGGTTGAACATAGAACTTGGCTTTATTAATGAGACAATTATATATTTTTCAATGGCATTCCCTGTCTGCATTGCAGTTTATTCTAGAAAAGGCAGATGTTAATAGTTTAATTATTTATAAATTAATTTTGTATTTATATTGTTTATAAAGTACTTAAACTATAAATTATTTTTTCAGATGCTAGACTTGTCTAATAGATCATTTTCTGGTTTTATGAGTGTTAAAGATGATATGAGAACAGTAAACAAACTTTTGCAAGACTGTCCTTTATCTCCAGGTAACTTTTAAATATTCTGTTTTATATTTAAAGTCTGATTAAAATATTTATAATTAGCAGACTTTCACAGGAAGACGTGCGATTTCACGTCTTTATATGACCACGCAAGTTACATTTTGCTATGACGGTTTGACCGTGGCTAATTCAAAAAACATTTTAGAAACGCGCTAAATAAAAAATATTCTAAAAAAGTGAAATTAATTACATCAAAACTTCTTAACAAATGTTTTTATATTAGCGAAACGATTTTAAATAAAGTAACAATTTACTGAAAAAAAGTTTTGTTTTTTAAGTATAAATGACAGTTGTGTATTTTTTTTTTTAATTTAAAGCATATAAATTGTTAAAGTGTTCATTTCTAAAATAAATCTTATTAAAAAATAAAAAATTGTTTTGTTTTTATAAACGATGACATTCTACGACTACGAAAGTCTCTTTAACGAATTTAAATATAAGAATGATTAAAGTTAATGCATTTAAAAAGATAAACAAAATTTCATTAAAAAAAAAAGTTTTAGAAAACTGTTACAAAGTTTGATCTTAAATGATTTTAATGAAGTAAAAAAAAAAACACTTCTAATTAATTTAAAAAAAAAGTTTTTATAAAATGTTTTTTTATTTAATTATATAACTATGTATTTTTTATGAGAAATGTTTACCTTTGGAACATATTAAACAAATAAAAAATATATAAAAATGTTAAAACAAAGGTTGAAAAGGTTTTTTAATGCGTAAATAAAAATAAACTAAGCATTTTAGTTTGATGAGTTTTGTTTTAGTTGCGTTATATAAATATATATATATTTATTTTTGTGAGTTTTTGCTCTAAGTATTTTTTTTTTATTTTCTCTTTCGTTAATATTTATTATTTTTTTTAATTTTTTTTTTAGATAAGTTTAGGTAAGTTTTTGTAGCGCATTTTTAAATTTTAAAAACATGCCGTGGTCAAATCGTTAAAACATTTTTTTTTTGCGTGGTCATATAATAACATGAAATCGCACGTCTTCCTGTGAAAGCCTGATTGGTTACATATTCTGTTTCATATTAAAAGTCAGATTATAATATTTATAATTAATTATAAATATTCTGTTTTATAGTTAAAGTCAGATTATAAAGTTAAATTTTAAAATTCAAAAAATAAATTAGTAGTTTTAAAAATAAGTTTTTTATAATTGTATTTATCTACATTATAATTCCGAATACCATATTGTGATGAAAAATACGAATAAAAACGGATTGCAAATAACTATTTTTATATTTTTTTATTTAAAAAAATGATTGCACATTTAAAACTCAAAATCTAAGGGGGTAAGTTATGATAAAAACCTTTTTATTGTTTGATGATAGCAAATGGTTGCAAGTTCCTCACAAAGTATACATACTTCCGAAAATTGCCATTTACTGTTTATACTGCCACTGGCATTTAATAAGAAAATGTTTGCAAGTTCTGTTAGGATAATGTTTTGCATTAGATGATAACAACTTATAAGGGTTGTGGTCAATTTAGGTGAATAGTTTCATATAAAAACTAATTTCATCTGTTATAAGAATCTTCTTTTCCATATCATTCCACATCATATATGTGTGAATAGTTTTTGTAAAGATTGGTTTAATTGTTTTCATTTACTTTCTTTTACTTTTTTTCTTACATTTTGTTTTCTTACGAATCAGAGATAATCACCGGTGCTCCTAGACACCGGTAATGGTTTATTGGTGTCATGCAGCCTTTTACTGAAAAAGATTAACCTTTTACTATTACTCTCAGAGCATTTAAGTTTATTTTTATTTTGCTTGTTATGTTTTAACTAATCCCATGAAATTAGTTTTGGAGTTTGCATCATTAAAAAAAGGTTGTATCATTTCTAATAAATTTAGAGTTCTTTGTGCATAAATCTCCAGCAATTTCTGAAATCACCTCAAAATGCTAAGTATACCTGAGCTTGTTATTTTTATAATCCTTTTTAAACTTGCACTATCAGCATCAGCGTTTAAAACTTTTATGCATAACTATAGTTGAACAGTTTTGTATATAGTTGAAATGTTTTGTATATAATTATAATTGATATATGATAAAAATTTTCATTATGATAATAGTTTTTTTTATAACACAAATTATACACAACTTAAGGCTTTGGGGAAAAGAATACTTTATTTGAATTATAACTAAGTTGTAACTAACTTTTTTTATTTCTCTTGTTTTATAAAAATTTTTTAATTAGGAGAGTATTTTACATGTAACCCTTTGAATTAGATGTACAAACTTTGAATTAGAAATTTACAAAAATATAAAGCTAATAAATAAGAGAATAAAACAGAAAAAAGACACTCAATAGATGGCTTTAACTGTTGGGTAATTTCAATTATTATTAGTTTTTTATTTATTATATATTTTTTATTAGGTTTCATTGATGCATTTACAGATAATAAAACAGAACAGCTCAACCACAGTGAAAGACTCTACAAGGTTATTTTTATAATTTTTTATCTTTTCTTCAACTTTATGCATAATACATATTTACTAGTTTCTAATTGTTTTTATGTTTAAATATTTAAAGAAATCAAAATATTTTTTGGTGGAGCTAAGCATGTCTTTTTTTCATGTTTTAACAGTTTCATGTATAAATTTTCTTAAATTATTGATCACTTTTTATTTTTGTGGCAAAGATTGATAATTTACATTTGTTTAGTGTTATAGTGTTTGTTTTTTAAATTTTTTATTTTTATTTCTTATTCTTTACTTTAAAAACATTTTTCTTCTTTTAATTTTTAATTTTATTTTTCTCGTTTTTCCTTTTTTTAATATGTTGTTATTTTTATTATTTCAACTGATATTTAAAAAAATATTTTTTTAAAAAATATAATTTTTTAGTTAAAATTTCATATTTATTTTAAAATTAATGTTTGACCATTTTATTCTGTTAGATTTTTCATTGATGGTTTTAATACATTAAATTTTTTCATCAGTTTAATGTTTAATGTTAGAATTTTGATTAGTAAGTAATTTTAATGTTAGAGATTTTTTTAATGAAGAGAAAAATTCCTCATTCTTATACTTCTTTATTGCATAGAACATTTTTTAATGTATTCTGTCAAGGTAAGTAAACAGACTGTATTTGAAAATCGTTTTTTTTTTTTTTTTTTTGCGTTAAAATAATTGGCAAATAATAACAAATTGCAAATCACAATAAAAAATAAGAAACCAAACGAATTTGAAAATTTTTTAAAAATGTCATCATAAATCATAATAGTTATCATAATTGTCATTAAGAAAAAAAGAACAAGCATTTTTTGTTCAAGGTCTTGTTCATGTTAAACTGATCCTATGTGGGAGCTTATTAGTTGTTGTGAAAACAACTTACTTAGAAGAAGAAAAAATCAGATATAATGCCAATGTTTTTAATGCAGGTAGAACTTGTAAATTTAAATGGTAATCATTCTAATAGTAGAATCACAATAAAAATACTTTGCAATGACTAATGTTGAGAAGGGTATCTTGTTGTAAAAAATTGATTCAACTTTTTGTTATATATTTAAATATGAAAATAGCATTATGGAAACCTGTTCATTTTTACCATGTTATAACATAAAAAAAAGCTAATCTTCTAGTTTAAGAGGTTAACACAATTTTTTGTTTCTAGACTTCAGTCTTTTTGCTTAGCGTAACATTAATGTTATCAACATTTTGCTTAATTAAACTTAACATTAATTAAACTATTTTGCTTAAGATAAATTAACATTAATTAAACTATTTTGTCGTAATACATGTTTTCCTGCGTTTTATGGTTTCTTGAGTTATATAATGGTTTTTGACTTTTTTTTTTTTCAGTATCTTTCTCATAATCGTGCATCAAGTCAATCTCTACCACTTCCAGCTTTAAAATGTTTTATTACAAAGACAGACATGAGAATGAAAGTTCTGACAGCACACTTAAAAGCTTTAAAAGAAAAAGCAGATAGCAGAAAACAAGAGCCTACATTGCAAGCTGACGAAGTTTTAAAGCCTATTGCACGCTGTTTTACTAGTGTAGAAGTTTCAACTAATAAGAATAATGCATTTAAGTGCGCTTGTTTGTATTATTATATATATAAAATATATATATTAATTAAAACATGCCATTTAAACAAACAAGTTTATGTTGTTGTTTTTTTCGATATAATTTTAGATTAATGGATAATGATAATGCAACTTATTGGCAGTCAGATGGACCAGCTCGTTCACATTGGATAAGGTTTGATTATCGCTTCATCTTTCATTTTTCTTATTTTTAATATTAAAAAATGGCATTACCAGGCTTGGTCTGGAAGCGGGAGCGATCGCTCTCGATTGCTGACCACGTAAATAATATTTAGTTACGAAAAGCTGGCCAGATTTTTTAGTCGTTTTGAAAACATTTTAAAAAGCAAAAAAAAAAAAGCGCAAAAGATTAATTGGATCGATGAGAAACAATTACAAAAAAAAAAAAAAAAAATTAGGCAAATAAAATATCTTTAGACGCGAAAAAACTTAAAGCTAAATAAATTACGTTTAGAACAAATATTTTCGAAACATCGCTCTTTTGTAATTTTTTTAATAAAATTAAGCAATGTTTTTTATATAAAGTAACAACTTGCGATTGTTTAAAAAAGAAACAAATGCTCTTTATTTAGCAAAGTTCGCAAGTTTTAGTTTTATTTAAGCGAAATTATTTTATAAATAAAAAAGTTAATTTTTTCAATACCTATTTTATGTTTCGCGTAGTTTGAAAAGTTTAACATATTTGAAGCAATTCTTCTTAGTAAGATAAACAAATGAAATAATTAAATCATTGAATTACTATAGAAATTAAATTAACAAGATAGAAATCAACTAAAAAGGTTAAAAATACTTTATGACGAGGAAGCGAAACTGCTTCACAATATCGCTGATGATGTTTAGTGAGTAGGTTTTTTAATTTTAATTAGTATTTAAAGCAGAAAAAAGTATAACGAGTTTCTAGGATGGTAACTTAAGCGAAAATAATTAGAGTTGGTAAACCAATATATAGAAACTTTTCTTTATATTTAATTATTTGCTATATATATATTTGTGTTCTGTCGTGACCTCTGGCGCGGTGCTTGTTCATCCGCGAGTTACTTTGAATGCGTTGTTTGTGTTTAGTAACCAGAAACTTCTTATAAGTTTGTTACACAATTAGTTTTATTAACTATAACGATTATAACTTCATTGAAAACGCAATTATTTTTGTAAGTCTTTGTTTAAATCATAAAAATTGCTTTAAAAGATACATTACGATAAAAAACAGATACACAAAATTACATTTACATAAAGAATACATACTTTTTAAATAAAAAAATAAGAATATACTAATAAGATCTATAATTTATAATAAACTTTTGAAATTTTGACAATTTAATATATATTTAAAATATTTATTTTTGTAAACAAATAATATAAATTACTATTTTGCTAAATCAGCGTAATTTTTGAACTAATAGAATTAGTTTCTTCGTTAATTTAGCGGGTTTTTAGTGTTCGCGAATATTTTTTTTATTCTTTCGCACAAAGATGTTTTGAGAACATTCAAGTTTATTATGTTTCCATGTATGTCTATAAAACAAAAATTTTTTGTTTCGTAAATAAACTTAAATGTTCTCAAAACGACTAAAAAACCTGGCCAGTTTTTCGCAACTAAATATAGTTTCCGTGGTCAGTATTCGAGAGCGATCGCTCCCGCTTCCCGACCAAGCCTGCATTACACAAAGTTTTCCAATTTTATCTAGTATGTTGCTATTTTGTTGTTTTTTATTTCTAGTTTTATGTTTATGTCTAAACCTTAATTAATATCTATTTTTCAGATTAAAAATTCCGCCTAATGTTGTTATTAAGCATTTGTCTATGTATGTTGCGTCATCTGATCAGAGTTATATGCCTAATCATGTTGTAATATATGGTGGAAATTCGGATTCTACTTTACGAGAGCTAAATGATGTTCAGATCCCAAAGTGATTATTTTTATTATGTTTGATAAAATCTTTTTTACATGTATATTATTAGCATAACAGCTAAGGTGCAGTGTTTAGAGTGTTGACTTTATTTTCAGGTTTTTGGGGCTTTTATAGCCTGAACAAGCTTTTATCAATTCTTTATCCTTATTTTTTTTTTAGTCATATTACTGGTGATTTTACACTGCTAGAAAATTTTAAAGTGCCTTACCATAGTTAGTATAAGTTACAATTTTTGTTTTTTTCTATTTTTTAAAGATATTTTTTTATATTTCTATTCTATGTAACTCAAATAAATAAATAGTTTGAAAATTTTTTTTTACTTTTATAAATAAATATTAAATATTCTATGTCAGCAAATTTAATACTAAATATGCTAACTTTTTCTCAATAGTATTTTTGCAGCTAAATAAGTTGTATTTATTAATGAATTATATATTTGTATTTATTAATAAATTTTATTAATAGCTTTCATATATGCTGTTTTCTGATTTAAATATGATGTAGGAGGAGTTAAAGCATTTTTCTTACAACCAGTTGCCCTTCCCTGTTTTGCAGATCAGGACTGAGTATTTTTGTTGCAATACTTCCACTTGGAAGGTTATCGTCCTATGAGCTCTTACATTATGAGCTCCTCCTACCATTACCCTATAATAGATTAAATTAAGGGTTTTATATCAGAGTTTTTCTTTTCTTAGGTAATATACCTTCTCATTGACATATATATATATATATATATATATATATATATATATATATATATATATATATATATATATATATATATATATATATATATATATATATATATATATATATATATATATATATATATATATATATATATATATATATATATATATATATATATATATATATATATATATATATATATATATATAGATATATATAGAGATATATATATATATATAGATATATATATATATATATATATATATATATATGTATATATATATATATATATATATATATATATATATATATATATATATATATATATATATATATATATATATATATATATAGATATATATATAGATATATATATATATATATAGATATATATATATATATATATATATATATATATATATATATATATATATATTTTTTTTTTTTTACATTTTAAGTTTACAATACTTTAACAAATACAAACAAGGTTTCTGAAAGAAGATCGTACTGATCTTATCATCAGAACCTTTTACAAGCATTTAGCATAATTATTTACAATGTATATAATCTATTTATAAAATAAACAGTAAAAGTAAAACAAAAAGATAAAAAGTAAAACAAAAAGAGTCGTTACGTATAACGTATTTTACAATTAACATAAAACGTATTTTACAATTAAAAAGTTAAATAAATAAAGGTACATAATTACAATTAGAAGAACCTTATTATGTCATCAAAAAATAAAATAAAATTTTTGAGTTTATGTTTGAAAATTGGAAAAGTGTAAAACATATCAAAATTTGGCAAAACAACTTTATTCCAAAGATATGGCGCACGATAAGCAATACCATACTGGTTAAATTTTGTTCGACAAAAAGGTTTATGCAAAAATTTATTATTTCTAAGAGTATATTTATTTATTGGTTTTTCACAAAAGAGAACTTTAAAGATAGGTAGGGATAAGTCATTTTTCCACAAATACATAAAGCATAAAACATTAAACACATTAAGTTCGTAAATATTAAGAATTTTCATTTCAATAAAAAAAGGTTTGGAATGAGTGTATTGATCCGCAAAATTAATTAAACGGATCGCATGCTTCTGACGGCGGTAAAGACATTGTAATTTGCTTTTTTCTGTGCTTCCCCAAGCAATATTTGCATAATTTAAATAGGTATGAATAAATGTGTAGTATAGTTGGGTTAAATCTTTTTTACATAGATATGTTCTCGATTTATATAAAATTCCAATGCTTTTAGAAATTTTTGTGCTAATATAGTCAATATGCGCTTTCCATGTGATGTTTTCATCAAGAAAAACACCCAAAAACCTTGTGACATAGTGTCTTTTTATTACAGTATTATCAATAAAGATTTCTGGTAAATTTTGGGGTAAATAAGGTTTTTTTGCGATTGGATGGAAGAGAATCCATTTTGTTTTGTTACTGTTAAGAGTTAGCTTATTGCATATAAACCATTTTGATATGTTTTTAAGTTCATCGTTCATACTAGAAAAGAGTTTGTAAATATCATTATTGGAAAGAAATAAGTTGGTGTCATCAGCAAACATAATACTCATTAAATTTGAGGCTTTATTTAGGTCGTTTATATAAATCAAGAACAACAGTGGTCTCAAAATGGAACCTTGGGGAACGCCACATGAAACATTTAGGAACTCATTTGGATAACAACTATTACTAAAAACAAATTGTTTACGGTTAGATAAATAACTTCGGAACCATTTTATAACTTTGTAATTTATTCCATAGTATTTCAGTTTTTGTATCAAAATTTCATGATCTACAGTATCGAAAGCCTTCGATAGGTCGATAAAAACACCTAATGTAAATTTAGATTTTTCAAAAGAATTTGAAATTTCACGTACAAGTTGGATAATTGCATGTTCCGTCGAATTATTTTTTTTAAAACCACACTGGTTGGCGTATAACAAATTATTAGAAAAGAGATAATTGTTTAATCTATTATACATAATGCGTTCTTGTATTTTTGAGAATGTGCAGAGGACGGAGATAGGACGATAATCACTGATATTTGTTTGATCTCCCTCTTTTAAAATTGGGGTAATTTTAGCAATTTTTAATTGATCCGGAAAAATTCCTTGGTGAATAGATGCTCCATAAACCTTAAAAAGTATATCTTTTAATTGTTCAAAACATTCTATAACTATATTACCGTTTATGTCATCTGCTTCGTTTGCTTTGTTTTTTTTAAGGGATTTGAATGCTTTTTCGAATTCATGAAAAGTTAGCTCAGAATATAATTCGTTGGAACTAATGCAATTATCCATTTGTACTAGAAAATCATTAAATGTTGCTTTGTTATAAGGAATTTTATTTGCTAGTTTAGGACCAATGTCAGTGAAGAATTTATTAAACTCATGAGCTATAGCTTTTGGTTCGCATATGCGTTTGTTATCCACTATAACCATCTGGGGAAGAGAACCTGAGCATTTTTTTTGTCTGCCAGTAATTTCGTTCATTATTTGCCAATTGCGTTTTGTGTTATTTTTGAATTTATCTAGGAGTCTTGTGTAATAATTTTTTTTCAAGTTTTTACGAACTTTTTCAAAGAGATATTTGTAATTTTTATATATTTTCTCATTATCTAATGATTTTGTTTTAAGATATTTTATATACAGCTTCTGTTTAATCTTGGATGATTTTTTAAATCCTTTTGTTATCCAGGGGTTATTTTTATATTTTGGAGTTATTGTCTTTTCAATAATAGGAAAGTTTGCGTCTTAAACGGAGTAAAAGGTTTCATAAAAGTTATCATAAATTTTGTCTGCATTGTCATTGAAGTTAATATGCTTCCAGTGCAGTAACGATAGTTGGTTTTTAAACAACTTTATATTTGCATGGTTAAAAATGCGGATTTTAATTTTGTGTATTTTATTTTTAATTTCAGAATTAATTGTCAAGAATATTGGAAAATGGTCAGTTATATCAGATTTTAGGATACCTGTTTGAATATCATTGTTGTAATAATATTATCAATCAAAGACGCCGAGTTTTTAGTTACTCTAGTTGGCCTGTTTATTAAAGGAATTGCTCCCGCCTCAAAAAAGGAGTCGTAAAAAATATTAATTTTGTTATCTTCATTATAAAGAAAACAATTCATATTTAGGTCTCCAATAATGAAGTTCTTTTTGTTTTCTTTAATACCTTTTTTGAAAATACTTTGTTCAAAAAAAATGCTCAAGTTCTCGCTCACGCTGTCAGGTGGGCGATAACAACAGCTTAATAATATGTTTTTAGATTGATTGTTCATAATTTCAATAGTCAAAATTTCTTTATCGCTATCAGAAGCACTTAAATCATTCCTAACGTAATAAACAATATTTTCATTCACATATATAAGGACTCCTCCGCCGTGTTTATTTACTTGTCTTTTAAACGAAATTAATTTAAAATGAGGAATATAAAAGTTTGAATATTATCTATGTTATTTGAAATCCAGGTTTCAGTTAAACAAACTATGTTAAAACGATTTTTTGTTTCCTCTAACAAGTTTAAAAGTTTTTCAAAATTGTTATTAAGACTTCGAATGTTTACGTGTAGTATCATAATTTTATTTAAACATTTGTCATAAACATTTTTAAAAAGAAACCCTTCTAAATCGCTTGGAAAGTGATATGAGCAATCCGTAAGCGCCTCGTAGGAATAGTTTATATCAGGGTCTATATTTACATCATTTATTTCATTAAAGTTAAAACGCATGGATTCAAAGTCACTGATTCCAGCCATGCTTTTTTTTTTTAAGATAATTTTATTTGAGCATTTACTTTTAGAAAGGCTTCTTTTTAAGACTTAAAGTAAGGGATGGGATTTTTAAATTCTCTACAAAAAATTTTATCATACTTGATAATGGCGTACTTTCCTTCACCGCGTAGACGTTTGACTTCTTCCCATAACTTTTTGCGACTCTCGATAGTTTCCTTTGCAAAATCTTCGTTGATGAATACACCAGTACCTTTCAAGTTTTTAACAGCGTTAAGAATCTTGTTCTTGTCTTGATAATTTAAAAGTTTCAGAACTATAGTTCTAGGTAATTTACTATCTTTTGTTTTGCCTACTCTATGTGCTCTTTCTACAACAACTTCGCTATTTATTTTTAGTTGGTTTTTAAAAATATCTTTAACTGTATCCTCACATTCAGTCCAGGTTTCACCTGCTTTTTCTTTTACTCCATCTATTCGCAGATTGTTTTGTCGAGATCTGTTTTCGAGATCGATTGTTTTTTTGGTCAACATATTTAGTTTGTTGTCATAACACTTTCTAATTTGTTTTATTTTATCTATAAGGTTTGTTTCTTGGAAGTTTAATGTTGTTTTGACATCGTTCAGATCTTTTTCGATATTCATAATGTTGGATTTATTATTTTTTACATATATTTCAATTTTCTCTATTCTTTCCGTTAATATTTTCAAGTTTGCACTCATTATCGACGCAAAGCTTTTTTCTTGTTCTTTCAACAACTTTTCTGTTTCTTGTAATATACATATCTTCTGTTCCTCCAACTTCTTGATAATTAATTTTTCTATATTTTTAAATGAGGTTTCCATGTTTAATTTAAAATTTAACACGCTGTAGAAAAAACGCTTCTGTTCGCTTCAACACGCTGCTTGAAAAAAAATATATATATGTATATATATATATATATATATATATATATATATATATGTATGTATATATATCATTTATTCAAATAACTTGTTCAAAGAGTTTTTATTTTTTACTAATTTTTATTTAACTGTTAAAAAAAAAAAAATAATAATAATACTTTTAATCTTTAAAATTCAATTTTGTTATACTTTGATTTAGTTATTCAAATTGCTATTAAGCGTTGTCATAGTGATGGCTGTGACACAAGAGTGAGACAAATAAAAGCCATTGGCTACAGGTAGTTTTTTTTATGTTTATAGTTAATATAAAATAGTCAAATTACCTAAATAATTTGATGTTTGCTGTAATAAAAAAATGCATCTTTTTTAATCTGTAGTTTTGTCTGTATATTTATAGTAAATCTTTTTGTCTGTATTCTTATGATAATTTTAGAACTAAATATATTGAAACTAAATTTAAAAATTTAGTTTGAAATTTTTAAACCATTAAACATATTTGTTTATTTGAAAATTTGCATAATTTTAATAAATTCATATACAATTAAAAAAAAAAAAGTTCAAATGCATAATATGCATTTGAGATATGATTTTCATTACTTAGTATTTGAAAATTAACTTTTAGAAATTAAAATAAAGAATTTTAATAAAAAATATATATTTTTGTAAAGTAAATCTTTTTCTTAAATAACTTACAAAACCTAAACTTAAGTCGATGTTTCCTAAACACCAGAATTTCAGAAGTTTTTAGAAGTTATAAGTATTATTAGAAAAGGTATATGTTAAGTAATGATTTACCAGTTTCACATTTTTGTCCAATGCTGATACTAATGCTGATGAACAGAAAAAGGTTATGCTTTTTTTCTGTCCATCACCATTAAGTATCAACTGATTATTAAAATATTGATTATAGGTCAGGTCAGGATCATCATGATCATCCTGCTACTAATAACATGTAATCTATTATAACCTGCACACCTTTCCTATTCTTTTAAGACTCAGTTTTTTAGGCAAATGCTATAAAAAGTTTTTGGATAAGCAAAAAATAGAGAGTATCATGATAAAACTTGTTTTAGATTGATTGGCTGATTTTAGCCTGATGTAAATGCTAATTGGCTGGTGTAGATTTAAACCTGTGTTGCATTGATTCCTGCTTAGGGTGGTAAACAGCAGATTTTAACTTTACTTTGGGGTTTTTACTTTCTTTGTAGTTTGGTAAAAAACTTCTAATATCTCTTCTTAAGTTTACTTTCTGACAATCAATATGAATTTCAATCCTCTTTTTCTACTACTGAACAAAAAGGTTCTATCAAGCATTAGATAAAAGCTCTATAGTTCATTAAGAAAATTAAAAAGTTCTATTATACATTAGATGGAAATGGCTAGGTAATGGCTATTGCGCTTGATATCAAAGTTGTTTATTAAAATCTGGCATGCTGGTCTTGTCCATTAGCTCGCTTCTTATAGTATATTTAGAAATGTTTCAAAAATTTTTAAATCATTCTATTCTAACTCAGTATTAAAGTTGTCCATGTTAGACAACACATTTCCAGTAATTTCTGGGGTGCCACAATATCTTGTCTTGATACTCATCTGCATTAATGGTCCTTTTTATACCTTACCTTTAATTTGTTAATAACAACTTTATGTCTTGAATAATTGTTATCACTTTTAGATTGCTCAGAAGAAACAGCTAATTATTAATGTAATCTTATTTCTGTGGTTGCATTTGGCTCCAAATTTAGCTCAATTGTTATCTTGCTCTATAAACTTCTATATTCTCGATAAGCTATAATCTTTTCTCTTCCAGTAACTTCCAACTCTGATGAGTGGTTGCTTGCAACCTTGTTGGAAGTAAAGGTGTTGAAAAAAAAAAAAGAAAAAAAAAAGTGGTTTGGTGAGTTTTTAGCCCAAACAAATGTGGTTTACTGTTATTATATATTAATAAATATTGCAATATTGTTAATGTTCTTATTTTTATTTTTAAAGTTAAATTTTAATTTTAGGTTTGATTTTTTTTTTATATATTTTTTTTATTATTATTTAATATAATGTAAATAATATTTAATCAATATATCCAGAATACTATTATATTTTGTTTTGATATTGTTATGACAAATTTTATACTTTTATTATTGCTTTTATTAGGGTTATTAAATCAAAAGGAGTTAGTGTGATGGATGCAACAGCTATGTGGTATTTATCAGTATTAGCTTCAACAGCACAAGCTGCTCTGCCTATTGCACCTCATCTACGTGAATCTATAATATCGCATACTAGGTAATATATGGTTATAACTACTTGACATGAATTAGAACATTTATATGAATTAAGATTTTTAAGATGAATCCACAAAAAGGAAACAATATGAGTTGAAGATGACAGTAGAAGAGTGGAAGATATCAAATAAGTTTTTTTTTTTTAATAATGGCTTTAATATAAGTTTTTCTTATAAACATATCATAATTATGTGTTGTTGAAAAAACAAACAAAAAAAACTTAAGAAGAAGTAGATCAGCCAGTGATAAATTCTGTAAGGAATTATTGTAAACACACACAAGAAATAATTTTCTTATATGGCATAAATCTAAAAAAGTTTCTTATATTTTATATACTTTAACATGTTTACATGATTAGAACATACTTAATAGTGTCATTTTTTGTTTATTTTATATTTTGTTTCTTTAATTTTATTAAATATTATCTTTTGAATATAGTATACAAGGTATATATCATGATAAAGTACAATTAAAATAGTATTCTAACTTTTTTTTAAAGTTTAAATTTAGCTGAGTGTTTACATATAGTCATGTGTTGAACTATTATTAGTTCAATACTTTTACTATTATTATTATTATTATTATTATTATTATTATTATTATTATTATTATTATTGATTATAATAATTATGATAAATTTTTTAATAAATTATTTAATTTTTTAGTAAATTTTTTTATAAATTGATAGTTTATATTATTACTGTTTTATTATGTTATTACTTAATTGTTATAATAATTAATAATATAGGTCTTCTTTATATCACATGGGTCCATTATCATTGTCTGCATCATCAATTGAAAGACCTGGGTTTTTATCAAATAGTGTTATGGAACAAATGGAGAAATTTCTCCACACTATTATTTGGTATGTTGATTTTCATAACTTAGCAGTTACCTTTAAAAATTTTATTCTTTATTTACTAATATGGTTTTTTATTCTCTATTTACTAATATGGTTATGTTGTTTGTTATTAGTTATTATTATTACTTACCATAAGCTGTCATCCATAAAGTACGTACACTAAAATTTTTGAAAGTTGACCCTCCCCCATCCTTCTGTTGCCATGCGACCTTTTAAGTCCTCACCCCCCCCCCCTTAAAAAGTACGTACGTTTTTCAAATCCCTCCCCCCCACCTATTTTTTTTTTTCAATAAAAAAGTTTATTGAAAAAAAAAGGGTGGAGTTTCCTTAGATATCCCAAAGCCCTTTGTTTGCGGCACAGGATCCAAATTTACGAAACGTATTTAAATATATACAAATATTAATTTTAATAAAGTTAAATTCCACGGAAAAGATGTGTATGCTTGTTATGTATGTTATGAACTACGTTGGCAGAGACCGGGGTTCGATTCCTGGTCAAGTTATATTGTACTTTTCTTTGTTTTAATGACGGATCAAATAAAAATAAACTATGCTTAAGTATAAATTAGCAAAAGGGCGCAAAATTTAATAATGTAATAATACTAAATAGTAATATTTATTTTATTGGAAGAATTATTATAATTTTATTGTAAGAATTATTATTGTAAATTTTATTGTAAGAGTTATTAAGAATTATTTATTATTTAGAGAGTACTTAAATTAGGCAGACATTTTTTTCAGGCACCCCTCTAGAGGGGTGTCTAAAAAAAACATAAAAAGCCCTAAAAACTCTTGATCACCTGCCACCCCCATGCTATACGTGATGGCACTAATGTAGTAAAATTTTCAACTTTATTATCTAAAACTAAATTTATAATTTAAATTTATCGACAGATTTTAAATTTTGTAGGAAAATATTTTAAATTGCAAAAGTTATGACTATGCAAAATTTACACCCCCCTCATTTTGGGGTTCGTAAAATTTGCATAGTCATAACTTTTGGTATTTATAATATTTTTCTACTTAATTAAAAATTTTTATGTCTAAATTTAAATTTAGATTTAAATTTAAATTTAATGTCTAAATTTAAGATTGTTAAGTTGAAAGTTTTACTACATTAGTGCCCTCACGTTTTTCTAAGCATTTTAGGGCTTTTTTGTTCCAGGCTCCCGCCATCCTAGTTTTTTTCAAAAAATTGGGATGGCAGACATCCCACACTTATAACACTTTCACACATACAAATTCTAAAAGTTTGGAGTTTGCACAATATGTGAAAGTTTCCTATCTAGAACATCAAACAATGCGGGCGCCTATGCATTTTTATTCATAGAGGGAAACTATACTACTCCTTGTACCATACATTTTTTTATGTTGGCGAACTAGGATCTTTAGTCAGAATTTTAAATTTTCTAGCTGGTTAATTGTGATAAATAAGAAAATCGATGTACATAGTTTTAAATTACATACTTTTAAATTGAACCTTCCTTCCCCTCCTTCCCCCTCAATATGATTTCTTACGCTTTTTGAAGACCTCCCCCTCCTCCCCATGAGCGTACGTACTTTATGGATGACCCCTAATTAAAAGTTGCATTATGAAAGTAGTTTTGTTTTTTTAGTTGTAATGACTCTGTTGAGCCGGATGAACTATTAATTTTGCTTCAGTTTTCTGTTGCTCGTGGAAATTTGGGAAGTATATTGGAAGTGTTGAAGCTTATTTTTGGTAAGTTTGAGGTTTAAATTATATATATTTTTTAATATTTTCTGATAGCCATTAGGTGCAGTAGTAAGCCTTTTTTTTATTGTTATACCAAGTATCTATATCAGGATTTAGGTCTAGTCTATTTAAACTGCATGCTTCTCCTGTAAAAAATATTCAAGCCAATTCTGAGATTATTTTTTTCAGATTCAGTCTATTTCTCAAGCCACATTTTACTTTTTATAAGCAGAAAAACATATCTTCAACTTTGTGTTTGTAAACAGACTAAAAAAAAAACAAACCTATATACATTTTGGTATTTTGGCATTCTGAAATAATTTTATAACTAAATATATTATTTCAACATTTTCACAGAGTAAATTTTTTAACATTGACAATATATAGTTTTTTAAAGTTGAGCAAATATTTTTAACATAATTCACTTAATACTATATTTGTTGGAAACCCATCCTTCATTTTTTAAAACAATTTTTTTAGAATTTATAACCAATGCCACTATTTATTCAGTATTTATCCACTATGTATATATATATCTATATATATATATATATATATATATATCTATATATATATCTATATATATCTATATATATATCTATATATATATCTATATATATATATATATATATATATATATATATATATATATATATATATATATATATATATATATATATATATATATATATATATATATATATATATATATATATATATATATATATATATATATATATATATATATATATATATATATCCAAATGTATTATTAGGGCTGTATTATTATACCTGCTTAAAAATCTTTGAAACACAAATCGAAAAGTTGATATAAATGTTAAAAAAGTAATAAATATTCTTAAATAAAAATAAATGATTGTAATAGTATAATTTGATACTATTGAAATTTTGTTTTGATAAACAAAATTACTACCTTTTTCAATGACACTACCAATTGTATGAATACTTTTTTGTATATGAAACACTGCTAGAATAGAATCTTCCTAATGTATATGTGACATTGTTAGAATATAATTGTTTCCAATAAATCATTAGCATAGGAATAAATATTCTTTATTTAAAATAGTAATTTATTAGGTAAATAGTATTTGTAAACATTAAATATGTCACATTATCCTATACAAAACCTATATTCTTAAAAATGAAGTACTTGTTTTGACACAAAAATTTGATTTTAGTAAAGTCTAGCAAAGATTTTTTATAAACTTTGTTTAATAACATGACTTAAATACTGATGGCTGCAATTTAATTTTTGAGCTGCCTGAGAAGGGTCGCTCTGATAACAAAAAAATCTATTCCTAGACCTAAATGATTTAGGAAGCACCTTAAATACTTGCTACAATGATATATTATTTATAAGTTAGACAAGTTAGACATCTAGTATATATATATATATATATATATATATATATATATATATATATGTATATATATATATATATATATATATATATATATATATATATATATATATATATATATATATATATATATATATATATAAAATTCTTTTTAATAAGATCAGGTTTTTCCCACACAATGTGTAATTCTTCTTTGATTTTTAAGTGATGTGAAGTCTTTATTAGCTATGTTAAAGCAACTCGTTTTTGAATTAATATGTTGATTTATATGAGAAGTTTTTTGTAATTTTAAATGTTCCTAAATTCTTTTACTCAAATGTCAAGTGGTTTAACCCACATAACAAGCATTACAGCTTTTACACACAAATTTATATATGACATTTGAGCAGAGATGTTGAGGAGTTTTATCTTTGGTTGAGTCTATTTTGGTCTATTAATTTTAACAGATAAGAATGCCAATTTAATATTAAGAGTTTTACAGTGTTTTTTGCATAAAACATTTTGTTTTGAAATTGTTTTGACATTTTACCAATATACTGCATTTTAAAGTAATTCATTTTTGAGGAATCAACAATTTCTATATTTGCTTTTTTATATAGTCTGTTTAGGTAGGTGTTTAAAACACAATCAATTAGTTTAATTGGGTAAAGGTTTTTTTGGAGAATATGTTTAAGTTTAACTAAATCAGAATGATTTTATATTTCATTTTTAACTTTATTTATTTACAAAAACGATTAATTACAATAATATAACCAAATTTAAACCTTGCCATAACCCTAACCCTAAGCCTGACCTTGATGCCTGGCCTAACTAAACCCTCAGTCGATGTAGCAGCACTCCCTTGCCAGTCAGGCTATTTGTCAGTCGATGTATGTACTTCTCGTTCTTTTTAAAAGTTTGTTATGAGTGCATAATTTTACAAAAAAAATCATGCTTATGGAAACAAAAAATTAACGGGTACACTAAAATTTCCCCAATAACGCTAATGTCCCCGTAAGTGTTACTTTTTTTGTAAAGTGCTAAACTAGGTGTATATATATATGGATATATATATATATATGGATATATATATATGGATATATATATATGGATATATATATATATGGATATATATATGGATATATATATATATATATATATATATATATATATATATATATGTATATATATATATATATATATATATATATATATATATATATATATATATATATATATATATATATATATATATATATATATATATATATTTTAAAAGAATGCCAATTCTACAACCTATCTACATAATAGTGTAACCTTTGTATTTATGAAAAGTATTTTATTACGACTTTTGTGAATAAAAAAAAGTGAATTTACCAAAACTATATATAATAATAACTATTATAAAAAATACAATTTTAGCACTACAACATCTGACGTAAAATATACATATCCGGTATAGCATATACTGGATCATGTATATTTTACGTCAGATGCTGTTGTAGTGCTAAAATTTTATTTTTTATAAAAGTTATTATTATATATAGTTTTGAATAGTATGGCTGATGATTGCTAAAAAAGCATGAAACTTAAAGTTCCATAATGAAATTGTATTTTTTCATTTAAATTATATATATATATATATATATATATATATATATATATATATATATATATATATATATATATATATATATATATATATATATATATATATAAAAAATTTTTTTTGTTTTAATTTAGAAAAAATAACATTAGAATATCGCGCTTTTCTTCTGCTTCAAAGTTTATCAGAGACTAAAGAGCATGCTATTATAAAACATGGTAAGTTGATAATAATTATTCAGAAGTTACAATAATATTAAAACTTTTGATGCTGAGTTCATTACACTGAAAATAAACTTCGTTACTTAAGTTTAAAAATAAGAGTTATCTTAAATTTGTTTTTGACATCTTTCTGAGATTGAAGGTGTCACAAGTAAAACATGCCATACCTTATAAACAAATTAGGTGCTGAACTACCACTAACAAAAAAGGGTATCAAACTTAGTTTTTCTAGTTTTTCTTTGTACATCTACCAAGTTACACATATTTTATAACTCTTATTGCACAATTTTTCTATAACTATTTGTATACACTTAAGTGCTTGAGTTAATTTTCATTAAAGGAACATAAGAACATTTAAGATCATACTCAAAAATTTATTTATGTGAGATAAAATCTCAAATAAATGAAGAGAAAAAAAAATGTGTTTTTATATATAAACAAGATCTTTTTTGGAATTTTTTGTTGTTTAAAATATTTTCGGAAGAAACTTCCTGATTTTATGTAGATTCGTTAGTCCTTGGCCTTTCCCTTGCCTTAAGGTCAAAAATTGAGGCTTTAGCCTTGAAAATTTTGGCCTTGGCTTTTATTGTTTTGGCCTTAGCCTTAAATATTTTCTTATTATTATGCGGTAGTGGTGTAGTAGTATAGCGCTCACTTCATAAGCGAGAGGTTCGATTCCCACCACATCCCTGGTAGTACTGCGCTCAACTTGTTTTTCAGTGCAGCGGTCTTGTATGTCAAGGTTCGTGTTTTGGAGTTATAAAGTTGAGAGAGGGTTATAACCACAAGTAGCCTCCTAATCTGTAGTGGCCTTCTCGGTCTTGGGGATGTAAATTACAAAAAAAAATAGATAAATAAATATTAAATTTCGTTGAATCATATTTTGTAAAAATAAGCATAACCTATTTTTACAAAATATGATTTTATTATTTTTGATAAATAAATATTAAATTTCGTTGAATCATATTTTGTAAAAATAAGCATAACCTATTTTTACAAAATATGATTTTATTGTCACAGCACTTGCTACTTACAGTTTTGTTAATAATTAGCCTTAACCTAAGACAAAAATTTAAGTCTTTGGTCTTAAAAATGTTTTTGTAGGCCTTGGCCTTGAAACTCTTAATCTTAGCCTTGACCTTAAAACTCTTGACCTTGCTCTTGACCTTGTATCTTTAGGCTTTGGTCTTGGTCTTGGCCTTGTAACGTGTAGCCTTGGCCTTGACCTTGCTTCTTTTGGCCTTGTTAACAACTCTAGTTTTATATTATCCTGTATGTTAGTATAGACATTAAGTTTATATACCAGTAATACCATGGTTAGTAGAGCATGAAAACAAATTTTGTCAAGGAAATGGGTTTTTTGACTCAACATTTCATGTTCTGTGTGCACTGGTATTTCCTCACTAAACTCAAGCATTTGCCACATTCATGGGTTTTTTGACTCAACATTTCATGTTCTGTGTGCACTGGTATTTCCTCACTAAACTCAAGCATTTGCCACATTCACTAAACTCATTTAAAAGCACTAAAAGCATTTGCCGCATTCATGGGGAGTTTGATCCTTAACAGATTTAGAACATTCAGTTAAACTTTAAATTGATTAAGCTTGGTAAATAAGACATTTACAGTTTTTATCTCTAGTAGCTGTTTTAAATTTGACATTTGATAAGGAAAACATTAGGGTGAAAAAGCAACATTTTTTCTTCAAAGCTCTCTTTTCTTCAATCAGATGTTTTTCTCTTCAATTTGGTAATGAAATCTCATGTTTTCTCTTCAGTTTGTCAATGAAATCTCAATATGGTGTTTATTTAAAACTATATTTAATTATTAGACGTTAATGATTTTTTTAGCAAAGCAAGGTATCAATCTTACATAAAAAATTTCAGACTAGATACAAATATTTTTGTGAAAATGTTTTTGCAATATTTCTTTTTTTTAAATTTTTAACTTGTTATTATTATTTTTAAGTTTTTAAATTATTATTATTATTACTTTAACTAGTAATTATATTATTGAACAATAACATGCTGCTTACTGGAATTTTGTTTAGCACTTAATCACTTTTATAATCAAGTACAAAATATAGCTATTTATTTTAATTGAAAGAAAATGGGTAAGTTAAATTTTACCAAAACAAAATTTGGCTAAATAGCGTTGTTTTTAAACAACTTTTCTAATTAAATTAAAAAATAAAAAAACAGAGTAGAAAATAAATTTAATTATAAAAATTTAGAAAACAAATTAGAAAAGTTATTTGGTCTGCAATTTGAGTGTTTTCACTTCCACCTGATGTATTTTTGGTTGAATATTTTTTTAGCTTTTTTTAGTTTTATTCTAAGAGCCCATGGCTGCCAGGCCTACATTATTTTATAAAAGCTGAAAATTTATCAGCGCATGCTGCTAATACAATTATGAAGGATGGTCAACTAAGTACTTAAGAATATTGTGGCTTTTACTGATATTATGTACCAAAGAGTTTAAAATACCGGCTTAAATATAATTTTTTATTAATTTTTTTTGGAATAGTATTAGAAATCATACCATCCATTGCCAGACACTTGGTGGCAACTGTTTGCCAGACACCCTTGGTGGCATGCCAGACACCCTTAAGCTTCAAAAGATTATAACTGTACTTACGTTATAGAATAAATATGGAAATTTATACAGACAGTCTGTTTATCTCAAATATTTAAACAATTATCACGGTTATTTCCATTGTTTTTTGTTATTTCGATAAAATATTATATATTAAAACTCCTTTTTAAATTTATATCATTTTTATTACAATTTTTACCTAAAGTTATTGAATGCTGTTAAAAACAAGTATATTTTTTATGCAATCCAAATGCATAAAGCCACCATGATCAAAGTAGATTGTTGATTATCATTCCTACTTGTATTGGGAACATGCGCAGAGAGTAATTTAAGAGCCCATTAACATATGCTCTTAGATTATTTTTATAAAATAGTTTTTATTTTTATGCAATCGTTAGATTGATATAATAGTCCTTGAAATATTCACCCTCTTCATTTAAGTGACAGACTCTTGTATAAAAAAAACATCTAGAATTTTAAATATTTTAGGTTGCATATGTTTTGTTCTTTATTCTTTTATTCTTTATTGTTGTATAAACATTAAACAACAATGTAATGGTTTCCAGGCAGCAGCCAACCCAGTTTCTCAAGATTGTGTTTTAGATTTATTGAGTTGTGAGAGCGTTGTGACATTTATTTAAAGAAAAAAGTGTAACTTCATTTTTTGTATGTTTTTTACTTCTTGGTATATATAAATAACCAAAGCATAATTACTTTTACAAAAACTTTAGGGCAAAAACTTCCTGTTGTTGTCTTATGCTGTGATGGAGGTGCTAAAGATAAAGGTCCTTCTGTTGTTCTTCAAGAAAATACGAAATCTGGTGATAGTAAGTCTTTAATTTTTTATTATTTTTGGTATTGTAAGTTTTTTGACTCTATTGATATATCTGTTTTTTAGCATACTTCACTTCTAATGGAAAAACAAAGTGCAACTTCACTTTTGGTTTAAAATCAGGAAATCTCATTCAGTTAACAAGAGTTTCTATGAAGGTTTGTTTAAATATTTTTAATGTTATTTTTCTATTATTTTTGTTTTTAAATTTATTTTGATGGTAATTATATATATATATATATATATATATATATATATATATATATATATATATATATATATATATATATATATATATATATATATATATATATGTATATATATATATATATATATATATATATATATATTTATTTATATATACAACCCTCGGAATAAGGGTTGGCATTCGACAATGCCGACCTAACTACCAACCTAAATGTGTTTGCAGTCTGCAAAAAAAATTTGGTTTTGCCGACCTCGTTTCGATTTTTTATGGTAAGACCTTTATATTTACTGACCTGATGCTGACCTCTATAAGATTGAGGTCGGAAGTAAGTCTGGTTCGTGTTTTTAATAATTAAAGGAAGTATCCAGAAGTTTCCAGAAGCATGCAGAAACTTCCAGAAGTTTCCAGAAGAAGCATCTGGAAGCATCCAGAAGTATTAAAAAACATTCAGAAGCATCGAAAAGAAGCATCTAGAATTTTCCAGAACAAGTTCACACAGGTTCATTTTACTATATAAGAGACATGTAAACCGACATGTAATTCAGTCAGTTATGGAAGTCAATCAGTCAGTATTATCAAGACAGTTTATCAAAGTGAGTTTTATCAAAGTGTTTTACCGAAGAACATCAATACAAGAAGTGAAATACAACAAGTGTTTCATTACATCAATACAGTCCACTCCCAACCAAGACGTTATGTTCCACAGAGTGTTATGGTATCATCACAAAGTAAATGTAGCACGGTAAGCCTTGAGAAGCGTGATTATATATTTTTATTATTTTTATGACTTCAAATGTAAAAATGGCTCCCGCCAGTCTTGGATTGGAACTAAGAAAGAAAATTATTGGCGATTACGTAAGTGGAATGTCACAAAAAAGTATTTGTGATAAATATTGCATGAAAAAATGGACCATATCAAGACTATGTTCCAAATATTGTTCTACGGGGAAGTTGGCAGCAGATAACAAAGGTGGAAGACCGCGTTTCACCACTTCTAGAGAGGATTCTATGATCGTCAGATCCGTTAAGAAGGATCCCTGGATATCATCAGTTGAGATACAAAAGTAATTAGAGCTGCCTGTATCGAACCAAACAATCAGACGACGAAACAATCAGAATCGAAGTTCAACATCATTGGGAGCGATGGCATTTGCTGTTTATTGCGATGGCATTTACGTTACTGTCATAAGACTGTGAAGCATGGTGGAGGCAATGTAATGGTCTGGGGGTGTTTTTCTGCTAACGGTCTAAGTCCAATACATCGAATCAATGGAATAATGGACCTTTTCATGTATAAAAATATCCTAAAAGATGTTATGTTACCTCATGCTGAATGGAATATGCCAATAAAATGGATTTTTCAGCAAAACAACAATCCGAAAAAAAAGTAGTCAAGCAGTGGTTTCGAGACAACCACCTATCGGTGATGGATTGGCCGCCTCAATCTCCGGATCTCAACCCTATCGAGAACCTGTGGGAGATGGTCAACCACAGAATTAATCGTGTTCCTAATAAGGATCAACTGTTTAAACAAATCCAAAAGGCCTAGGCAGCGATTCCACAAAGTTTCATTGATCACCTGATTGAATCTATGTCTTGAAGATGCAAGGCTGTGATTGACAACAAAGGATTTGCCACGAAATATTGATAGCAAAATACAGCTTGGTCAACATTTTGTGGAGTTGCACTTGTTTTGTTCAGAAGGAAATCAACTTTTTTTAATAATTTTGATTAATTTATTAATTTTGGTGTACAAATAATGAACTTTGTGATGAATAAAACTTGAAAAACGTTGTCTCTAAACAGTTACATAGTTATTTCTCTAAATTGAAATCATTGGGAGCGATGGCATTTGCCGTGTAAGTAGACCAGCCGGAAAACGCCTCAATTTACGTTACTGTCACTTTTATATAAATAAATTAAATCAGAATTATTTGGTTGCACTTTTTTTGTCCGATACTGTATATATGGTTTATTACCAACTTTAATCTAGTATTTTTTTTTAATACACCAGTTTTTGCCAAGTTCTGCAATATGGTGCTCTGTTCATATTGTGCAGAAATGGTCCTGGGAAAAATCTATATGGGAAAATATTTTTTTTTCTGGTTAGGGATAAAACATTCAAGATGAATATAAACTTTTGAATAGTTCCTATAAACTAGAAAAATAGAAAAATATGCTTTTTTAAAATAAAGAGAAGACACTGAGGTGCCTTTTCTTTATTTTGAAAAGTCCCATTCCAAATATGCTTTTTAAGTATAATAAAAAAGGAAGTGTGTAGAAATTTGGATTCGCTGATTGAGTATGATCTGATCATTTTGTTGATAAAGTATAAACCTAATTCAACATTGATTATAATCGTGCTTGACAGATGATGATTATAATCGTGCTTAACAGAAAAAAGCTAAAAAAATTTATTCAAATACCCAAACACTGATTTACCATGTTCTTTTAAAATGCAACCTAAAATAATTTTATTGACTGAAATAAGAATTACTAATTGTTAGTTTTAACATTTTATTAATTTTATAATAAGCGAAAATATGGCATCAAATAGGTTATCTGAATGTTACGGTAGCATCAAATAAGTTTATTACAAATGAAAGTGGTTTTTATGACCTGTTGGACAGAGTCGACAAAGTGATGACAAATAGAGAATCTTAAATAAAAAAAGAGAAAAACCTATTTTATTATTTTCATATCAGTTTTATTAGGAGTAAAGAGTCAAATGACAATAAGCGATTGTCACAACAACAAGTGATTGCCAAAAAAGTCAAGGTATTTAATCAAAGAATTTTTACACAATTATTTTATGCAAGGGATCCAAATAATTGTTTTAAAAATACTAAAAGTTAAAACAGACTTTTTAAATTTTAAAAAAGGAGCCCAATAAGAAAGTAAAAAAAAACTACAGCTACGAAGAAAACATATTTTATTTTTACAATACTTAAAAAAAAAAGTAGTTTTATGCAGTTATAGTTCAAAAATAATCTACATTCATTTACAGTCAAATTTAAATAAAAAGGTTCCATAACTTCAAAAAACTGGTTTGCTGTTTCAGTTACTATTGCTTCAATGCAAGCACAAGGCAAACCTAAAAACATTTGGTGTAAAGACTACTCATCGACGCTCATGGTTTTTTTTATTATTTGTCTATATTACATTTTTCAATAACTATTATTTCCGTCATATTTTTGAAAAATATTTTACTAAAAGAAAACTTAATTTATGACAACAATCATTTATGGTCAAAATTACAGATTTAGTAATAGTTGCAGTCATTTTTTTATTATTGTAATATAGTGTCATTATTGAGATAATTCTTTCATATTAGTTTTCAGCTTTAGGTAAAAGGAGATCCACTAGCTTTTTTAAAAAATGCTTTTTTTTTTTTTAGTTTTCGAAAGGAGCCTGGTGTCCAAAAGCTGGGCTTATATTTGTGTTTGATGCTGATAACATGTAGGAAACTTTTTCTTTATTGTTTTAATTTATTGTTGCTTAGCTGCAAGTTTTTTTTTGGCTGTAAATATTACGTTCTTGATGTGTTTTTTATTTATTATATGTGTTATACTTATTTCATTTGATTTTTTTTCTTTTTGTTAATATTAAGTTTTAATCATAATAAATTTTACAGAAAAGATGAAAATGGAGAGACATTTTACCAGTCTTTGGAGAAATATGATACATGCAGTGAAGAAGAATATAAAAAATACAAAGAAAGGTTATTTTTTTTTTTTTTTTTTTTGTAAAAAAGTTGTATATATAGATCAATTTAACTTTATGGTATGTTGTTTTGCATATATTTTAGCTACTTTTCATTTTTTTTTTTACAGAGGATTTAATGATGATGAAGTTTCTCCTTATGATCCAGTTGCCTTTTTTAACATAGACAAAGAATGGTAAGTAAATTTACACGTGTTACTGAGTTAAATATTTTTATGTTTTATTATATAATTAATACTATAACACAATATAATATTGCATATATTAATATAGTTATACATATACTATATATAAATATACATACATATATATAAAGACATACATATATTATATATAGATATACATAGAGTTGCAAAAAAACGCGTTTTTTTCCTTTGGCGTTTTTTTGGGTCAAAAAAACGTGTTTTTTTGGGTTTTTTGGCGTTTTTTTGGTTTTTTGGTGTTTTTTTGGTTTTTTTGGTGTTGTATTGCTTTTTTTTAACAATTTTTCAGTTTTTTTTTGACATAAATTTTGGAATAGTTTTCCTTTACTCTAGTATAATTTTAGTATTTGGCCATTAGATGTATGAACACCAATTTAACATAAATTTTTTATAAAAAATATTAATTAGCTTTAAGTAAGTTATATATCTAGGCATACTGTATGAAAATCTTTATTTTTTGTTTTGTTGTACTATCAACTGTGATACTCTCATTATATATAAAAACTATTCTTATTCTATAAAAGTTTTAATTTTTTATTTAATTTTGATAATGTAAATATATTAATGTATAATACCATGCAAATATAATATCAGACTTCGAATGCTCAAAAAAATAAGCAATCTATCAAGATTATTAACTTAATTAAGCATTTGTATATTATGTAGTAATTAAGTCTTACATTGTTTGTTTGTTATATCAAAAAAATAAATATTGCTAGTATGCCCATGTTTAAAAAAAACCCTATACTGAACTTAATTTCAAGGAAAATTTAAAAATTTTCTAATTACTATTATTTATGGAGTTTCCCAGACCCCATTCACCTGATGATTTGTAATTTATTTATTTGTAATTAATTTTTAACAGCATTTTTTTTTTTTCTAATTGCATTATTTATTCATCTACATATTTTTATATAACACTATATCAGAACACTTGCAAGATTCTTTAATATGCTCTGTTTTTTAAGTTCAATTTTTAGACATAATCTTATGGCAAAAGAATTATTTATCTTTTTCCATTTTATTAATTTGGTTCAGAGGTTTAAATAAATGGCCCCTAATTAATATATTAATTAATTAATTCTAATAATAATTAATTAATTCTGCCCCCTGATAAAATAAATGGGTGACTAAGGCTTTATTTCTGCCCCCTGTTTGGAGAGCCTAATCATAATTCCTTTTGTTTTTCCTGTTGATTACCGACAAGAAAAAAAAAATTACTTAATAATTTAAAGATATCCTTTCTCTTATATATATATATATATATATATATATATATATATATATATATATATATATATATATATATATATATATATATATATATATATATATATATATATATATATATATATATATATTTATACAGATAGATATTATTGTGCTTTAAAAATCACTACTCAGTGTTGTTAATGTGGTGTGGTTATTTTTTGTATTAATCTATTTTTAGATTCTAATTCAGAAAAGATTTATATAAAATTTCTCTTAATTTGAGTAATAAGTTGACTTTTTAATAAAACATTTTAGAGACCATTTAAACAATATTAGGGACCTGTTGAATATAAAATGAGCTTAAGTATGAACTAAATATTGAACAATTAAACTTAAATTAGACTTGAAACTTCAAATTGTGTATCTGGGATTATTAAATCATTTCTTTCTACATCTATAGTAACTCTTTTTGCTGATGACTCAAGTTTTTACTCCTGTCTTGACAAAAAGTCTTCTCTTTTTGATCACTTAGAACAGGCAGCCAATTTTGTATCTGTTGATACAAAATTGGCTGCCTGTTCTAAGCGATCAAAAAGAGAAGACTTTTAAAATATGCGACCCCTAATCTGTTCACAGATTGAGGCTTAAATTAGCTTATAAATTTTATTTTCAACAAAACTCAGTTATTTACTGCAAACAACTACCACAATACTGTCGACATTCCTATATTAATTAATGGTAACCCTCTTTTTTAAATCTTCTTGGAATATTATTTGCTACTAACCTTTCATGTAAACAAAATATACAATCGATTGCTAAATTAGCATCCCATTATCATTATCGCCGTTTTCTTACCCTTGATTCCATTCTCTACCTCTACAAATATCTTTTTTTCCCTGTATGGAATGTTGTTGTCATACTTGGGCTGGTTCTTCTTATAATGCCCTTTTTCTTCTAAACAAGCTCTATCTGCTAAGCTTGAGCCTTCTTCCCATTGTCATAAAGTTGCATCTCTTTCTCTTTTCTACAAATTCTATCATGGTGGCTGCTCAAGAGAATTATTATCTCTAGGTCCATTAACAAAAACTCATTCTCGCTTGACTCTATTATGCTAAGTTTCATTCATTAGTTGTTAAATTTTATTAAATATAATAAATGTAAATAAATAATGTTTATTGTGTCAATATACACTAAAAACAATAAAGATAAAATTGAGGAAGATAAAATTATAAAAGTAGTTTTTATACAGAACTGCTTCAACCGTGTTAACCTGTAACAGTGTTAATATACCAAAACAAAAATTAATTCAGTAAATTTCAGTATTTATTGTCCTATTTAAATCAGAAATTAAAATATGAATTAAGATATTGCCATTAAAGTTAAATTTAGTAACTTAAACAATGAATTTTTGAATATTTCCCAAAAAAACCAAAAAAACGGACCCCTATGTTTTTTTTCCAAAAAAACGACCAAAAAAAACAAAAAAACAAGAACCAAAAAAACGCGTCACATCTCTAGATATACATATATTATATATAGATATACATATATTAATATAGATATACATATATTTTAGTATATGTTTTATATTGTAGTATTAGTTATCAGTCAAATATTTTAATTTTGGTTGTGCTTCTAGAGATTATTGTTAACCATATAAGGTTACGACAATTCCATATAAGGTTACAACAATTCCATATAAGGTTACAACAATTCCATATAAGGTTACAACAATTCCATATAAATTTACTACAAAACCATATAAGGTTACTACAATACCATTTAGGGCAAGTTTTCTTTTTTAAATAAACACAAGGATGAAATATGGTACAAGAATTAAATTTTAAAAAATTACTGAGCGTTGGCTGAAATAATTGTTAATAAATAATTTTTGGCAATAGAGTTTATAAAACTTTATATATAAACAATATAAATACAACATAAACACTTCTCAAACAAACTGCAAACTATTTAAACATAAGAATCGCAATAACAAATAACAAATTTTTTATTTTCCTTTATAAATACAACATTATCAATACTACATTATCTAATTTTAAATAAATAATTATGGTATAATAATTATAATTAAACCAGATAATTGAAAAGACAGGTTTGCTCAAACAGAATTAGTTTATATTATTATTAATGATGATTTTAATATAAAAATATAAATGACATAAATATAATAATATTAAAATAATAATAACAAAAACAAAAATACAATAAAAGAATTTAAATAATCTATAATAATCTTTAGTTTATATTATTATTAATGATGATTTTAATATAAAAATATAAATGACATAAATATAATAATATTAAAATAATAATAACAAAAACAAAAATACAATAAAAGAATTTAAATAATCTATAATTAATAAATATGTTACTTATATAAATTTAAAAATATTCAAATGTAAAAATTTTATTTACATTATATACAAATGTCTGTAACATCTGTAAACATAAGTAGGTGAAGTTAAGTTTGTGGATATGTAAGGATTGTGTATGTCATGTGCATAATATTAAAAATCTTTTAGAACTTTTCTAGCAATTACAAATCTCTTTTGCCTGAATTTTTTTGTTTTGTATTTTATAAGTTTGTAAAATTAAAGAAATCAAATCATGAGACTCGTAGAGTTTTAAACCATGTATTGTTACATAAATATATAATTAAAGAAATCAAATCATGAGACTCGTAGAGTTTTAAACCATGTATTGTTACATAAATATATAATTAAAGAAATCAAATCATGAGACTCGTAGAGTTTTAAACCATGTATATAAACCATGATGAAAACCTCAAATATTGAATCCGGATATTTACACACGGACTCACCGTGTCCAGGTATCAAGAACCGAAAAACCATTTTTACAATTATAAACTATATTTTATATTGTTTTTAACAAATATATTTTAACTGATGATGACTATATATAGTCGAAACATGTCTTGATTAATAAAATGTTTTTAAATAAAATTGAAGAACTTGGGATGAAAACCTCAAATATCCACTTTTATGCAAATTGGATTTATGCTTTTTTTTGGTTGCCTATACATAAGTCCATGTAATGACTCTTGTTAAATGTTTCTTTAAAAATAATGTCCTTCAAATTTACTGTCAAAAAAAAGGGACTTTTGAAAAACATCAATAGTTTAAATGCTCTTCTAAAAAAAAAATTGTTTGTGACATTTGAAGTTTTCATTTCAAAGTCTTCAATTTAAAAAGTTGTCTTATTTTTAATATATAGACACACACACACATATACACATACAAACATATATATATATATATATATATATATATATATATATATATATATATATATATATATATATATATATATATATATATATATATATATATATATATATATATATATATATATATATATATATATATATATATATTGGAATAGTTATTGTCTACATTTATTATATATTATATAGACAATACTATGCAAATATGTCAAACATAAGGTTGAAGAAGTGTATTTACTATTATTTTAATTTTCATTTTAATTTAAATATTAACAATTTTGTTCATTCCACTTTTAATAATGGGTAATAAGTTTCACTGTGCTTTTAGGTACCTTTTAAATAAAAGTGGTAAATACCTCATTATAAACATAATGAAAAAAAAAATAGATAATTTAAAAAATTGCACATTTTACATTTACTATGGATTTTTTAAACATTAAAGACATTTAAGTTTAAAAATAACAAAAACTTAAAACTTTCATATAGTTATTGTAATTTTTATTCAAGTCAAAAAGAATATGAAGAGAAAGGAAACATTTTGAAAAATTTTGAAACCACATAATTTTTTCAAAAAAAAAAAGACAAGTAAAAAATTAACTTTTAAGGTACCAGGTCAAAATTCTTTTCACATTCATTAAATTTTTAGTTGTGATTTTTTAATTTAAACGTTTTTTCAAAACTAAAAACAAGTACCTAAACAGTTTAAAAAGAACAGTTCAACATGTGCAACCTGTCTAAAGTACAGTTTGCACAACAATTATTATACCCGACCTGTCTAAAGTACAGTTTGCACAACAAATATTATACCCAACCTGTTAAAGTATTTAAAGTTAGTTTTATTATAGAATTATTTTATTTTCATAAAACAATTCTATAATAAAAATTTTCCTAAAAAAGTAGAAAAATAAATGTTAAATATGATTTAATTATATTTTTTGCGCCAAATTTCATTGAAAATTATTGGTTTATTGTCAATTTTTATTTTACATGTGTAGGTTAATGGAAAACCACCTAGGTTTTGTCGGTAAATAGAAACCACTTAAACCATAATCACTTTGGTGATTATGATGTAAGTGGTATTCATTTACAAAACAAACTTTTTTTCCCCCATACTGTTTCAATCTCACCAAAGCTGCTAGCAACCTCTATTAATTTGTGAGTTAAATGTTGACAGAATACTTAAGAAGTTGTAAATTGTTAGGAAAACATGAAGATGGGAAAGAGTTCCAAAATTTTGATGTGTGAAAAAAGAAACTAAATAAATAAAATATTTAGAACACAAAAGGACAGATACAGTACATAAATGCAAAATTGAATTAGCGGAAAAGTTCTTTGCAAATAGTTATTTTTGGGAGAGGTAATAGAGTCAGACCGATGTATTAGAGATGGAATAATAGATTTAATTTTGTTGAAGAAAGAAAAAAGTTTTTTTCTAAAACAAAAAACTTATTAAACTAAGAATATCCTAAAATAAAAAATTTAGTTTAAAAATTAAATTTAGTAGTAAAAACATATAGTGTATCTTTATCAACTAATAATATAAGTGCTCAGCACCTTTTTTCCATAGATTTCTTACAACAACAAAATATATTTTTAAGAGAAGAGTGTTCTCAAGAAAACCTTTCTTGTGAAAAAGGTGAAAAAAAACCCAATTAAAAATAGCAACTGCACCAGAAAATGGTTTCCATTTTCTGGTTAAACTATGGAAACCATTGGTAAAACAAGGCTTATCTTGAAAATGACAAGAGAGAATAAAAGCTTCTATACCTACTAAGATCCAGAAAGTTGTATAGGAGTTACAATTATCAGCAGAGAGACAAAAGATATCAACCTAAGGTCCGTTAATTATCAGTAGAGAGACAAAAGATATCAACCTAAGGTCCGTTAATTATCAGCAGAAAGACAAAAAGTCCTCAAAGGTCCGTTAAGAAACTATGGTCCTCGAAGGTCCGTTAACAAGAAACTAAAGAAAAGTAGTAGTAAGTATAACAAAGTTTTCGAACCTGAAAAAAAAAGTACAACATTTCATGCATAGATCATACCATAATCTGAACTACCTAAAGGAGATGAAACTGAACACAAGCTAGAGTCAGAGTCAAGAAACAAATCAAGGAATAAAAGTAAAAAAATAGTCACAAAGTTAACTGAGTAAAAGGTTGAAAAAGGTTATGAGATTTAGTAGTCAGTATTATCAGTGGTGGTAAAACCCTTTATTGTGATGCACATTAAAGTTACCTATAGCAACAATATGGGCTGATGGACAAAGAGCTCAGTTAATTTTATCAGAAATATTGAAAAGACCTTGAGAAGAAGGAAAATAATAAGGAACAGATGAAAGTGGTTGATTGCAGAGGTGCACATATAGTCTGAAGAATCTTACTTGATTTCTCTGATGTTTTACAACAGTTGATGAAGTCAATCTCTTAGATACTTTAGAGTTAGTGTTAAATGAGAGTTTTAGCCTCATTATTATCATGGCATAGCCAAAACAAAAACCTATAAGTAGACCTATTTTTATGAATCCTCACAAATAGAATTTCACACACATGATTTTTTTTTTTTTTTTCAACGAGTTTATTGTTGATAATAATAATAATAATAATAATATAATATAAATACTGATAATAATAATAATAACAACAATAATAATAATAATAATAATAATAATAATAATAATATATATTTGCTGTAACAACAATATATACATTTTTGCAGAGCATACTGAGATGCTATAACAGCTGTTAATGTTATAAATTGTCATAGTTAGCAAACAACATAGTTAGGCAAAGAATTCCAGTTTTTAACTATTTGGTTGTTAAAGAAGTTATTTCTTGAAGAACACTTAAACATCTCACGTTCGATTCTTTTACTATGTCCACTTATGTTTGATGAAGAACCATCGCTTGTTAGAGAGGAAACCAATTTAGGATTTTTGAACCAGTTCACAATTTGTAAAGCATTTGTTATTTTGTAGTGAAACATTCTTTTTTTTGTTGTTGTTATAAATTGTTTTGTTTACTATTTCAATAAAAGTTGTTATATCGTTTGTTATATTGTTATATCGTTTTTGTATCGTTATGCAGTTTTTATTTAATAATATAGTAGTTCATATATAGTAATTTATAAAATTAATAAAAAACTTGTGTAGAACAGTATAAAGTGCTTTTACTAGGTCATACTACCAATGAGTTGAAAAGTTGAAAACTCTCTTGTCATTTAGGTTGTGTCACTCCAATAATGATACATCCTCTCTCCTGCTCCTCCCATACCCCATCTTCAGAGAAAAGACCTTGTTCGTCAAGGTTGCTATTTTGGAGTTATAGTGTTGGGAGAAGGTTGTATCATAATTACAGTAAAATAAAATTGGTCTTCATGGCCTTGGTGAGGTTAATTGAAATAGAAAATAAGGTAAAATAAAATTGCAATAACATAAGCGTATCATATAATGTAGGAATGATATATAGAATGAAAAATTATAATAGTTAGCATGACAGAAACAAAATAGAAAATAGTATTAACACAATAAACAGTAAAAACTGGTTTTGTATTTTTACTAGTAAACAAGTTTATTTATACGTTAGAATACCTTACATAATGCATAGAATTCTAATATCTACCTTACTGTTGACTAATTATTAGTAAATTAAAATTTAAATCATGAACATTTGCTTGTTTAAAATCATATTTCAACAATTGAAAAATCAAAAAAAAAACTACATTAATGCAAAAAAAAAGTTACCATGAAAAATATAATACATCATTGTTTGTCTGAAATTTTTGAAAAGTCTTAAGTACCAATAAAAACAGAAAAAATAAGTTAGATAATATGTTATCAAAATTGGGGTTGGGTTTTAACTCTTCTAATAAGTATATCTCATTGATACCTCAAAAAAATCTTTTGCTTACAAATTAAACACTACTACTGAACACAATGTAGTGATTTATAATAGTTATAGTTATAGTAATTAGTAATAATTAATAATGAATACTTGTATTAATAAGTTGTTTGATTATGTAGGATTGATTGGGATGTGCCAGTTGACAAAATCAAAACAGGAAGTGTAAGTAATTTAAAAAACATGCTAACTGAACACTTATATCATGAAGGTATTACAAAATATGAAGATAATTAGTATTAGTTTAATTTTATTATATATTATTATAAATATTGTTATTATATTTGTTATTATAAATATCATTATTATATTTGTTATTATAAATATTGTTATTGTATTATTTAGTACATTATTAAATTTTGTTATTATATTATATTATACATTATAAAGTATTATTATTATATTATATTATACAGTTATATTGTCATTCTATTATTTAATTAGTAATATACATAATAAGATGTATATATTTATTTAAAATGTAAACTAATTGAAGATATATGTAGTATCAGTGTTAAAAAGTATTTAAAAAAAAAATCTGTTTTGTCACTTTGAATTTGTACAACTTTGTATAAATAAAATAATTTTGCTACAATTCAAGCACAATTCAAAGCTTGTTTTTCATGCTGTTAACACACTTATAATAACTTTTTTGGTGGTTTTTTTTCATGCTGTTATCACACTTATAATAACTTTTTTGGTGGTTTTTAGATTCTTTTGTTTTTTGAACTTTTTTTTAAAATTTAGTGTGTTACAATAAAGTTTTTGGGCCCTCGTCAAGATACTGCTGAATGTCTTGGAATTATAAGCATATGTTTGTACGGCTATGAGCAAAGTGAAAGATCTTCTCAGCAAATTATAAAACTAGTATGTGTACTTTTTGTACTGGGGAAGGAATTTTTTTTTTAAAGGGGCAAGAGTTTTGATTTATTGTTTTTGAAAATACAGTTTGTGTATACAGTTTATATTTATATAATTTACATTTGTTGTACAGAATAGCCAATTCTCTTCCTTGTCAGAGGAAGATGATGCTGCAGTGCCTGGTGTGATTGTCTTTTTGCAAGTGTTAAATTTTTTACATATTATGTCTAAAGATGCGGTATAAACTTTGTTTTAGATTTATAACTTTTTAATATTATAATTTAGTAATTTATTTTATAATTGAACCCATCTTTTCAGTACAGATGCAAGTGCATTAAATAAAATTTATTTAAAGTTTGAATTAAAAATAGTTGTATAATATATGTTATTTTTTAATATACATATATATATTTATATGTATATATTTATATATATATATTTATATATATATATATATATATATATATATATTATATATATATATATATATATATATATATGTATATATATATATATATATGTATATATATATATATATATATATATATATATATATATATATATATATATATATATATATATATATATATATATATATATATATATATATATAGGTTTATGTCAAACAAAAAGCCAAAGATTCTACTGAAGTTAAGGTAAAGCTTATTTTTAAATGTGAGGAAAATATATTATGTTTTACTTAAAAAGAAAACATACTATGCTTTTTCTAAATCATTGTTAGGACTGTATAATTGATGCAAATGATGTTACCATGGAACAAATATGGAACTTGTATAAGCAAGTAAATCAGAGGTAATATAGTTTGATCTTTTTTTTTTTAATTTTTAAAAAGTAAATAAATTTTGTGGTGATGACTTAATTTACCATTGTAAATTAATAATTACCATCAATGCTCTCATTTAGTCAAAGTTTCAACATTAACAAATAATATTTTTTCATATTGGTGAATGTTATACAGCTCTATTCTGTTCAACTGTACTCTATTCAACTGTATTCTATTCAATGTACTATTCAACTGCAAACTCTCCAAGCAGCATTTCAAGATTCAGGAAGGGAGCTTTGAGGAGGGAGTTAACTGTACTGAACATACAATCATTTCAGAGATAAGAAAATTTGCTGGAGCTCTACCTGAATCTTTTCATTATGCAACCTGATTGCTAAACTCTGTGAGATTATCATCTAATTACTTCCAAACCAGACCTTGTTTTAGTTTTAAAAGTTGGTTTTGATAGATCAACAAGCCAAAGTATTGGAAATACAAAAAAATATATATTTGTTTTTCAACAAATATATATCTTAAAATTTAGACTTTTTTTTCACAATAACTTATTTTTTTACAACAACAACAAACATTAGTTTTTAATATGGTTAAAGATGGAAAATTTTGAACCAAAAATATTGTCCTTGCAAGGAATATAGCTTCATTACTTTTTTATTAAGAAAAGTGCTGCGGAAAGTCACTGTATACTTGTGGTAGTTTATTGCAAGCAAGCTTTTTCCAAAACTACTCTCATTGATTGGTTTAAACACTATAAAATATGTGATTAGTGTTAAAGACAAAAAATATTCTAGACTAAAAAAGTTTGGAGATGAGGAAATGGAAGCATTAATTAATAAATACTTTGTCAAATGCAAGACAGAATTGAAAGACTGTTTTCATGTTGTAAATGCTGCTTGAATGAAATAAAAAAATTTGTTCTTACATCAGGTTATTACATGCAATGAAAATTGAATTCATTACTGTAATCCAAACCAAAAAACCTTACGCTTGCTGCACCACACCTGGACTATTGCAACTAAAACAAGATATGTTTGAAAGGATCAAAAGCGTGTATTGCATTATGAACTATTGAAATCCCCAGTGATCGTAGGTAAATATAATCACATGGGACCTTTATCAAATACAATTGTTCTGTGTAAAGATAAATTTTTTTAACATGCATGGTTCTTCTTAAACTTTCAATGATGGTTTCTCTAAAAATTTTAAATGATAAACTTTCAGTTTAAGAAACAAAAGAGATCCTGTGGTTGAACACAAAACTGTCATCAACACTATAAAGATTCTAGTTTGTTGAAGAGATCACGAAGGAAGCAGAGTTTATTAAAGATGCTGGTATACCTCAAACAAAGAACAATAATATCTTTGTAAATCAAAAAATAAGCTTGCCTTGATACATAAGGTGTAAAAAAAGATAAGTAAAAGTAAAATGATGGTAAGGTATGTATAATTCTATAATGGTAAGTTGTGTATAGTAACCAGACTGATTTATTTCAAAACATGGCCCATTTGTGGGTGCATGTCATTAATGAGCAGTTGTAAAAGTGAAAAGCATGAATTTTAATTAATCCAATTTTGATCATGGACGTTTTATCCTCCATATTTGGATCTGTTTCATGAAAGGTTCTTTATTCATTAGCTATAATAAAAAGTTGAGAATGGACAGTTCATAGAGACTACATCAAAGAAGCCTGTTAAGGAAGAAAAGATCCAGAAACTGCAGAGGAAAAAGGTGGCCTAGCTGTATGTGTTCCCAAATCTGGAGGTCATTGAATGATGGATATACAGCGAAAAAATGTTAAGTAAGAGTATATCATTTTTTAAAATATTGTAAATATTATTAAGTAAAATATTGTTATATCTTAAAATGCAACAATAGTTTTCATTTTATTTATAAAAAAATTTTATTTTTATAAAAAATTTTATTGTAGTTTTCTCTATCAATATTTATAGGACTACACAGTTGTCATCAATACACTATGCTTGAAGCTGTTGAGATGTTATAATATTGTTTGTGTTTCTGACTTATTCCAGGTTAACTGCTGGTTCCATGTTAATTACACTGCCCAGTTGCTTGGAGTCTTGCAACTAAGATCTTAAGGAAAGCCACAAACTTGGATCTTTATCAAGCCTTTTGCTCTTTGAATCCAAGCATAAGCTCACTGAGGTTAAGCGTTGATAACTAAAAGAAGTTTGAGCTTGCAGAAGACTCAAAGTCTTTGTTATGTGTTTACTTATACATTGTAAAAATATATATTTTTGAATTTAAATATAGCTTGAAAATTATTACGGTTTTATATTCTTATAAATAAAGCTTGAAAGTTATTATGGTTATATTCTTATAATTCATTTTGTGATTTTTAGGTATTTACCATAACATTTATTCTTATATGTTGTGTAAAAAAAATGTCTAGCTTGTTCCCAGTATGTAGCTAGTAGCATGCTGGTTAGGATGCCCAAATAATAATATAATAATCAGTTGTTTTTTTTCTAACCAGTACAGAAATACTAAAAACTTTCTTTTTTTACTTGTTTTTGTTTGTTTGTTAAGAATTTTTTGATATAAATGTATTATTAGTTTTATCATTGTTGTTTTTAAATCTTTTAAGTAAAATTAGCAATATTAGTGAGTTGAATAAATCTATCTTCTTGATTAATCAACTCTAGGTTAAAAATTATGTTTTTATTATGTTATAATTTATATATTATATTTTTAGTTCATTATATCCTGAAGAATTACTATTGGCTCAAGAATTACTTTTATTGCTGTTTCACATTGTTTTACCTTACTTGAAACCTGGAGCGCAGAGGCAGAACAAAGAAAAAAATAAGTCAAAGAGAACGCAGCTCGAAAAGTTTGAAAAAGGGGTTATTATTTTTATAATTAAATTTATTTGCATATATCAAAATCTTGAAACACTGCTGTTGCATATATCAAAATCTTGAAATATTGTAAAAGATGTAAAAACTGCGTAATGTAAACATGTAAAAAATTTTTATTCATAATCAAGCTTTCTCAGAAAACGCACGCCTTATATGACCATGCATATAATATTTTGTTTTGACAACTTGGCCACGACCTTGGAAAATTAGGGCATTAAAAAAATAAAATGAAAAAAAACAAATGTAAACTTAAACTAAAATCAAAAGTAAGCAATCCTGAAAAAAGAAATAAAAATTAAAAAAAGAATACAAAACTCAACTAAAAAAATCAAAAACTTAACGAATGATAAAATAAATAAAAGATAAACCATATAAATAAAAGCATAAAATTTTATTTTAATCTATTCCACTTCATGGAATTTAGAAAAAATCAAAGTTTTAAAGTTATTTAATTCAAACATAATTACTTCAAAACTTAATTATTGAAAAATTAGAAACTTTCCAATTTGATTTGATTTCCAATTTCCAGCAAATAAAACATTGAAAAATTATCCAGATAAATAAAAAATTATCCGGATTCAAACCCTCGTCTTATGCCAAACTAACATTTGCGCTTCTAAAAT